TTTCTTTCTTTCTTTCCTTCTTTCCTTCTTTCTTTCTTTCTTTCTTTCTTTCTTTCTTTCTTTCTTTCTTTCTTTCTTTCTTTCTTTCTTTCTTTCTTTCTTTCTTTCTTTCTTTCTTGTTTTCTAGTACTGGGGCTTAAACACAGGGCCTTGGTGCTGATCTTCAGCTTCTTTGCTCAAGGCTGATACTCTACCACAGTCTACTTTTGTCTTTTTGCTGGTTAATCAGAGATAAGACTCTCACGGGATTTCCTGCTCAGGCTGGCATCAAACCAAAATACTCAGATTTCAGCCTCTTGAACAGCGAGGATGACAGGTGTAAGCCCATCAGTTCTTTGTCTATTTGCTTACTATGAGCATGTGTTCCTTCTACAATGAAAAGGAAACAGCATTTGGAAACCTTTCTGGATTGCTAGCCTAGGACCTCATTTGTATTCTGTATTGACCTCTACTAGGGCAATACAGTATGCCGGTAGGTAAGTATTAGAGGGCTCCGCCATGGTGTTCCCTGCCAGGGAAGGCCAGAACAGCACAGGAAGCCTTCCAGAATGGGACCCATCCAAGGACCAACCTGTCCTATAAACAAATGCAATGGGCTAAGCTCATGCCTTGTCTCACTTCTGCTCTCCCTTTTTCTCCTTCCTCCTGAGCTGTGTCACAGCAGGTAAAGGGAATCTGGCTAGAGGCCTCTTGAATTGGGGAAACATCTTTGGGTTTAAAAGTGCATGTATCTGGGGTGACATTGTCCAAAAAGAAATGTTCTTTACTCCCCTTATGTAACTGTAACCCCTCTGTACTTCACCTTTACAATAACAATGATATAAAGAAAAAATAAAGGGCATATTTCTGTGACTGTCACTGGTATGTCTAGGCAAATAACTGCCACCTGTCCTGGTCATAGGAATACCTTGCACCAATATTCTCACTCAGGGGCTGGTCCCATTCCCCCACCCCCACTCTGCAGAGAAGCACATGATGGTGGTAGAAAATCAAGCTCAGATGGACAGAGCCAGCATCTCTGGGGACTCTCCAATCAGCAAGCCTGTGATGTTTGTTTGTCAACAGGATCTTTCCTTTCCTTCCTGCCTCCCTGCCTCCCTTCCTCTCTCCCTCCCTCCCTCCCTCCCTTCCCTCCTTCCTTCCTTCTTCTTCCCTCCTTCCTTCCTTCTTCCTTCATTCCTTCCTTCCTTGCTTGCTTTGTTCTTCCTTCCTTGTGTTCTATCTTTCTTGGGCTACTACTTCTTCACCTCAAATTTATGATTCTCCTGTCTTAGCCTGCCTGAATGGTGAGAATAAAGACCTGTGCCACCATGCCTGGTTCATCAGATTTTCTTTTCTTTGTTTCCTTCTTTTTTCTTTTTTTTTATTTTGGTGGTACTGTGGTTTTTAAGTCATCGCCCTGAGCACCTGTTTTAATTTCACAAATAGGTTGCTCTTGAGGCTTTTTTTGTAATGGGGCTTGAAATAAGGGCCTGGGTGCTGTCCCTGGGCTTCTGCACTCAAGGCTACTGCTCTATCCTTTCCAGCCACAGCACCACTTCTAGTTTTCTGGTGGTTCGTTGGAGATAAGAATCTCATGGATTTTCCTTCCCAGGCTGGCTTCAGATCTCAGCTTCCTGAGTAGTTTAGATTACAGGTCTTACAAAATATCCATTCTATTGCTTCTGCCTTCTGATGCTAGGATTATAACAGTGCACAACCACACCTGGCAAGCACAAGGCTCTTGAGATTCTCCCATGGTTGAAGGTGACAGTGGCATGATCCTCTCTATTGCTGAGTGGCCTACCAGAGGATGAATGTGCCAGCCTTTGTTTATTCCTTTCCCTGTTGAGCACACTTGGGTTGTTTTAAAATGTGGTTGTGTCAACATCAGCACATAGGCTCGGGGTGGACATGTGTTCATTCCACTTGGAATGAGGATGCAGCTCCATGAATAAGTGTATATTTAGCTGCACATTGTTTTCCAAAGTGGCTAAGCCAAGTGTGTCCCTGGTGATGTCTGAGTTTTTCATTGCACATGGTGCCTGGAGGCCTTTTCTCTAGATGTTCCAAAGGTGTGCAGCAATGGCGTCTCCTGGTGATATTAATGATCATTTCCTCAGTGACCCACAGCAAGGGTGTCTCCAGTAATCCCCATACACATCCTCCCAGGTGACCTGCCCCATACCCACCCATCCCTACCTGGTGCTGGGCTAGTGATGGACGGTGAGCAGTGGGTCTGTGGCTCTGGGCAATGGAGCTTTCTCAGACCTCCTGTTCCTCATCTCTGACAGAAGCCTGTCTTCCATCTGGGCCAGTCCTGTGTGACTGCTTCCAGCTCTTCCCTTTCTAGCCTGGTCCATCCAAACCCTTGGGCAGCTGGAACAGGTTTTTATATCTACAGAGTCAACCAAGCACAGTTTGGAAATATTTGGGGAAAAGACTTGCATCAGACACTTTTCTGCTGGTTCTTTTTTTCCCTAAACACACAGCATGATCTTTATTTACATTTACTTTCTATCAGGTATTATGAATAAACTAGTGATGATTTAAAGTATCTGGGAGAATGTGATAAGTTCTATGCAAAACTACAAACTTTCGAATTCTTCCTTCATGTTCTGGTACTGGGATTTAAACTCAAGGCACTTTTGCTCAGCTTGCTCACTCATGGATGATACTTTACAACTTGAGCCATACCTCTAGTCTAACATTTTGCTGAGGGACTCTCCCTCCCTTGGACTTTCCTGCCCAGGCTGGCATTGAACCTCGGATTACAAGTATGAGCCACCAGCCTTTTGCCCACACCATTTTATAGAAAGGACTGAAGTAGTCTCGGATTCTGGTAGCCAAAGCGGTCCTGGAGCCAATCCCCTTTGGCCACCAGAGGGCAGACTTTGCTTGTTGTTACTGTGGGAATAACAATTTTCAATTTTCCACTTTGTAAGTAGAACCAGGAACCTATATTTGTTTTTTGGGTTGATTTTTTTTTTTTGTCATTGTTCCAGTCCTGGGGCTTGAACTCAAGGCCTTGGTACTGTCCCTGAGCTTCTTTTTGCTCAAAGCTAGTGCTCTACCACTGAGTCACAGCTCCATTTCTACCTTTTTCTGAGTAGTTTACTAGAGATAAGAGTCTCACAAACTCTCCTGCGCAGGCTGGCTTTGAGCCTCAATTCTCAGATCTCAGCCTCCTGAGTAGCTAGAATAACAGCCATAAGTCACCAGTGCCCAGCTACCTAGCTGGTTTAAATTTTTTCTTCTGCCTTCTCCTGCCATCCATTTAGAAATTAACACATCTCTCAGAATCAACAGGATTGCTTGATGGCTTGTTCTTATGGTTGCATCCTACTTTCTGATGGCAACCTTTGTTCCTGTTGTCTATAAAATATCCAGAATTTGGTGACTTAAAACAACAACAACCAGGCTGGGAGTTGGCTCAGTGGTAGAGTGCTTGCTTTGCATGCATGAGGCCCTGGGTTCAATTCCTCAGCACCACATATGCAGGAAAAACAAAATTGGAAGTGGTGCTGTGGCTCAAGTGGTAGGGTGCTAGCCTTGAGCTGAAGAGCTGAGGTACAACACCCAGGCCCATAGTTCAGCCCCCACGACCAAAAAAAACAAAACAAAACAAAACAAAGAAACAAACATATTTAAACAGTCTATGTAGTCCAGGCTGGCTTCAAACTCTCAATCTTGTGCTGGGAAGGTGACTCAGTCCAAGAGTGTTTGCCTTGCATGCATGAGGCCCTGGGTTCGATTCCTAGCACCACATAAGCAGAAAAAGCTGGAAGTGGTGCTATGGCTTAAGTGGTAGAGCGCTAGCCTTGAGCTGAAGAGCTGAGGGACAGTGCCTAGTCCCAGAGTTCAGGCCCCACAACCGACCAAAAAACAAAAACAAAACTCTCAATCTTCCTACCTCAGTCTCACAAGCAAGCACTACCACAGCTTAAAACAAAAATCGTTCTTCCTCATGTTTCCATGGGTTGACTGGTCTCCCTTGGGATCTACCATGGGGTGGAATTCAGGTGCCTGCTGGGGCTGGGTTAGCAGGCCTTGGGAGTGGTGAGCAGAAGCATTGTTGGTCAGACCTCCTTAATCCAGTCAACCAGGCACAGGGAAAGGATCTGTCAGATGTGACATTTCAAGAAACAAGCCTGAGAAGTGCTTACAATGAAGACCTGTGATGGAATTAACATGGTCAACATTGCCAACAGTACTTCATATGTCTTATCTCTAGTTGGGCAGTTGTTCCTTCTGATCTGCCTCTCTACCACTTGGTGAAAGCACTATGACATTTTCCTAGTAGCTTCTAAATAAATGCACATGTACCTTAGGACAATCCCTGGCAGTCCCTTCCTAGGTGTCAAACCAAGTACAAAAAAAAGCATGTGTCCATCCAAATTCTGTTAAGTGGTTGTTCCTAACAACTTTAGATGTCATAGCCCAAATGTCCATCCACAGAGAACTGGTTAAAAAACAAACAAGCATACAGGCACTAAGTAATACTATCAAACGATTGCACTTCAAAACAGGGAACTAACATATAGGCATCATGGAGTCGAACCTCTGAATCCTGTGGGTGAGTTGCTACAGGTGTTTTCATCCACATAAACATCTAGGAACTGCCGTGGGTGGAGGAGAGGCTGGGAGGAGAGGGGGCAGGAACAGAGGAGGGAGGGAAGACTTCGGGGCTGCTGGGTACCCTCCTAGTCATCTCCAGCGGGCTGAGGGTTCCACGGGAAACTTTTATCAAAGAGTGTGCTTTCAATAGGTGCAAATTCACGTCTGTGCTAGTGGATTTGGTTTAAAGAAAAGGTGGGGTGGCTTTGCACTTTGTGGCTAGTTGGCAAATGACCATAGCGGGCTCTGGAGGGGTGGGGGGCGGCGCACCTCTGTCCGCTCAGTGCTTGCTGGACTGCACAGCAGCAACAGCACCGCAAAGGGCTGATCCGGCGCCAGGCTCCATCTGCCTGCGGTTAATCATTACCCGGTGCGGAGGGAGCGCGGCTCCGCCCCGGGGCGGCCTCCCGAGCGCCCGGCCCCGCGCGCTCGTCTCCGCCGCCACCTGCTGCCTGCGTGCGTGGACATGGTGAGCGGCCGCCTGCGGGGCGCGAGCGCCTGGGCCCGGGGAGCGCGGGGTGCGGTGGAGGGGGGCAGGTGGGGATCCCCGGGAACCCCCTGAGGAGCACAGTTTGGGGGGGCCGGGCTTGCAGAGTCGGAGTCTCCGGCCGCTGGCTCTTGGAGAAGCTGGGCCCCGGAAAGGGGCGGTGGCGAACCCAGCGGGGCGGGCTGGCCTCCCAGGCCTGACTGCCAGGCTTCCGCCGCCCGGGAGGGTGGATGGGTGCGTCCTCGACGTGCCGGCTTGCTGCCTCTCCAGCCTGCACTTCGGGGTGTGGAGTTTGGAGAGACTTGGGGCTCTGTGCACACTTGGGACACATCCTGTGCCTAGTCTGCACCCCTCTGCGGGGCCCGTGGTGGCTCAAGATCGCTGCCCCCAGATTGGAGGTATTCAGGGCCTTTGCACTGCTTGTGCAGGAACCCCGAGACCCCCAGCTTTACCAATAAGCCCCTTTCTGGCCTTCTAGGCTAAAGCGGTGAGGACTTCAAGGTTATCTGGGTGGCTGCTGTGGCTTGGGGAAGGGCCCTAAGGTCTCAATGAGGCGTGCTTGTGTAATCAGTAACCCCCTCTGCACCCTTGACTGGAAGCTGACCTGATTTACTAAGCAAACAGGCACTTCCCCCTCTGACCCTAGAGCTCAGAGGTTGTCAGTCAGCTGTGAGATTTGGAGGCTCTAGAAAACTCCAAAGAGAAAGCTCCCTCCTTTCAAGCCATCTGATGCCTTGGCTGAAGTCTGGTTGCCCTGGATACAAAGCCTTATCAACCCAGGAAAGGACTAGCTCTGGAAAGGAGACCTGCTATTGAGCCTTGGATGATGCGTATCTCTGCTGTCTACTCAGCAGCCCTCCACAGCCAGGGCAGGAGAGGGACCACAGCACCGGGAGGAGAGAGGGAAAGGTTTCCAAGAGCACATACATCTGTCACACCCAGTGCTAACCTGAGTGCCCATCCCAGGCCTCCTCGCTCCAGGAAGCACTTATAACATGCAAGTGATATTTACTTGATAGTGCCCCAGTGGCCCCTCCTAATATGAGAGGTAGAGGTTCTCACCCTTCACCCATGAAAGCAGGAGATGTGGATGCCGTTTGAATGGTAAATAGCAAAACCCAGCCCTAAGCCTGACCTGCAGTCCAGCTCAGACTGTGTGGGCTGCTTACAAAAGCTCAGCTCCCTCCCTCAGACACAGGAAACTGATTTGCAGTTTGACATTCTGTCTGGGATGGGTGGATGGGGATGTGTGTCTATGTTTAGAAGCCTGGAGTCCTAGGGTCTCTTAAACTCTGAGACTGGGTGCCATTTGCTTCTGTGTCTCCTTTGCAGTCCACTTGTAGCCTGAATCTGGTGACGTGGGGGCTTCCTTGAGCACTTTCCGCACAGTAGGCAGATAGGATGGGCCACTGGGTATGCTGCCAGCCACCTCTAGACCAGCTACCCTCACGTTGGGACTGAGTACTGTGGCCTCCCTTCCTAAGCTGTGGCAGGAGAGAGAAAATCTGAGCCTGGTAGCTAGGGAACCAGAGGCTGCATGGGGGTTTGATCAGGTACCTGTGGAGGTATGCCTGTGCTATCAACTGCAGGGTGGCTAACAGTGTCCTAAAGTCCTGCTGTGAATGCCCCAGGGCTGGAGATGCACAGATCATACTTTGAGAAGCTGCCTGTGCTGTCAGAGTTTAGAGATGGAGGGAGGAACAGTATGTACAGTGTATTCCCCTCTAGGCCCATTTCTTCTACAGTACAACTGAAAGCTCTGGGTCAGTGAATGGGAGTAGACAGGACAAAGATGATAGGAAAAGGCCAGTGAGTCTTCCTGACAGGTCATCATAGAAAGCTGGATCTGGGATGGATTTGTTTTAGGCCCTCTTACCATAACAGAGCTTGCCTGGGGAGTCAGCCTGCTGGGGGTGGAGTGGGAGGGTGCTAGTATTTCTCTATCCTGGTGATTGGTATTTGGGGAGGGAGGTCTTTCCCTAGGGGAAGTGTAACACCCAAGATCTGCAGCCTCACAGTCCACTACCACCTGGGCAGGTGAGCGCCACCCTAAAGATCTCTAGATTTGTCAATGCTCCCTGTACTGTGTGAAGACCTGTTGAGGGGTCACCATGGTCAGAGCAGCTGGAAGGGGCTGATGAAATTCCCCCAAAGGTCAGGTCAGGAGTGATCTCCTTTGCTAGCCTGGACCTAATTCCCTATAAAAAGGAATGCCCTTGGGCCTCTGTTTTGCCCTCTAGGCTGGCAAAGCACACAGGCTAAGTGCTGAGGAGCGGGATCAGCTGCTGCCAAACCTGAGGGCTGTGGGGTGGAATGAGCTGGAAGGAAGAGATGCTATCTTCAAGCAGTTCCATTTCAAAGACTTCAACAGGGTATGTGAGCTAAGCCTGGGGCCACACTCCAGGCTTGTTCCTCCCTTCCTGGGAAAAGAAAATGGCTGGGGGGAGAGGGGGGTAGGGGCCGGGGAATCATTTCCCAAACCTGGCCAGGGCCATTCTCTGAGAAGTGCAGAGTAGGTAGATGGGCCCTCCCTACCGAGAACTTAGAGAAGATAAGTCAGATAGCAAATGGGTGTACCTCTGAAGGCATTTTGATCGATAGCCAAATGACTGGCCAAAACTAACTCTCTGGTGCATCTGGTGTTGTTAGCCATCCTAGCAGGAAGACCTTTTTCTGCTTCAGAGACAGCCTCTAACTCTTGCCTCAGAACCGGGTGACAACTCAGGATGTCACTCAGGAAATGACTTGAGCTCAAGGGTCCTTTGTAGGAAGCTAGGCCTTAACTGGCCATAAAAAGGTGCCAGGAGTCTTTCTCTCAGAACACTTAAAAGGGTCTCTCTTTCCTGAGATAGGCTTTTGGCTTCATGACAAGAGTGGCCCTTCAGGCTGAGAAGTTGGACCACCATCCTGAATGGTTTAACGTGTACAACAAGGTGAGTGGTCCTGTGTCCATACTGTGTTCTGCCCTGTCTGATTCTGAAAATCACAACTGATTGTGAAGGCTCTCCCTTGGACTTTGGCCCAGGCCTCTCCACCCATAGGTTGACTGTCCCCTCAATCCGTTCATCTCCTTCCTAAAACCAACATAAACATCTCTGGAAATAGTCAGTCTCTTTACAAATTAAGAAAATGCAAATTGGAACACTGAGATACTTGTGTTTGGAGCAGATCTTGATTAGACAAAAGCCCACAATACCTACGCGTATCTAACCGATCAGATTGTCTACTTAATGAATTGAAACCATCATTAAATGGCTGCCACCCACCAAGAGCTTTCTGCTGTACTCTGTTTTATAAAAACCATTAAAAAGAGGTAGGTGCAAGGGGTTTATGCCTGTAATCCTAGCCACTCAAGAAACTGAGATCTAAAGATTGCAGTTCAAAGCCAGCCTGGGCAGGAAAGTCTGTGAGACTCTTATCTCTAATTATAACCAGCAAAAATCTGGAAGTGGATTTGTGACTCGTGGCACCAGCCTTAAGTGAAAAAGCACACCCAGGACTTGCTAGTACCTATACAAAAAACAACAACAAAATGCATTAAAGAAGAAGAGGCTATTTGTAAGTGGGTAGTGTTTAGGAATCTGTGACAGGTGTGGGTCTTGCCTTTAGCACTGAGGTTGCCTTTGACACCTATGTATTAAGGTTTTAATCTCAGTAGCTGACATCATTATTTTTGGAAAACATCTAAGGGAGATGTAACGGATGAATTTTGCATTGTTGTTACAGGGAAGTAGTCCCTAAGAAGGACAGTATTGGCTGGCTACCTCCCCCAGGATGGAGCAGTGACCAGCTACTATCCCCCAAAGCAATTTTTAGTGACTGGCTGCTGTTGTCAGAGGAAATGGCAGTGACTAGCTACTGTTCCCTGAGTAGACTGAGACAGCTGGAGGCTCTGTCTTCAGAGAAGTCAGTGGGTTGCAGGCGCTGAACTTCTGGTTTTGTTTCAGGTCCACATCACCTTGAGCACCCATGAGTGTGCAGGCCTTTCAGAAAGGGACATAAACCTGGCCAGCTTCATCGAACAAGTAGCAGTGTCCATGACATAGACATGGCTCCCCTCTGCAGGCCTCAAGGGAACAGGATGATTCAACAAGGCAGCCCGTGTTCCCCAATGCTTGCTACAGTCAGAACGGCCAGGCTGACCCTGCTGCCTCTGTTTAGGAGTGTCCTTGGCTGCCAAAAGATGCCAGCATTACTGCCAGCCCCAGGAATCGAGACGTTTTCCCACCCTCCCCCTCTCTCCATCCTTGGAGCTCTGTTACTCTATGCTAATTCAACAAGCTCTTCCTTTGCTTGCAATTTCCCAGAAACAGTAGTGGTGTCCTTTCTGGGTTATGTCCTATTATCCGGCTAGTTCATTTCCATGACTGAGGGTGAAATAAAGTCCCCTTGCAGAAGCCAGGATCCTAACAAACCCCCTCCTGTGTGACAGAAATGCCTGTGCTTTCCTGCTTCCAATAAAACTACTGTATCACTTCATCTCTGGCTCTAGAATCTTCTTTCATTTCCACAGGTCAACCCAAATTTGGCAGTAGCCATTAGTTTGGTTTTCAGGTTGTTTCTTCTTGCAGTTATGAGTATTAGACTTGCTAGGTGAGTGCTGTACCCTGAGATGTACCCTAAACCAATGGGCATTGAATGGAAAGTGCTTACTGTGTGTAAGCTGTATTCAGGGCACTGAAAAAAGGGGCAGAACACCCACCTTCAGGCTCATCATCATGTAGGGCAATCAAACTGGAAAACCACTGACTCGTTAGGATTGACCAGGGCAATACCAGCTGTCATGATAACAAACGAACCAGGAGCCGGGCGCCGACGGCTCACACCTGTAACCCTAGCTACTTAGGAGGCTGAGAACTGAGGATCTCAGTTCAAAGCCACCTAGGCAGGTAAGTCCATGAGGCTCTTATCTCCAATTGATCACCTTAAAACCAGAAGTGGCACTGTGGCTCCAGTGCTAGAGTGCAAACCTTGAGCAAAAAAGATCCCAGGAATACAGCCCAGGCCCCAAGTTCAAGCCTGAGGACCAAGAAAGAAAAAAATGAACCAACAAGACATAAGAAAGTAATGGTGACAAGAGTGCATCTGAGACCCCAGGGTTCCTGAGACACAGCCAGGAGGCATGGAAGCACAGGGAAAGTCCATAGGGATCTATGTGTAGAAAGGAAGGCAGCCAGGGTCATATTTTCTTCCTACTTTAATGGCTGAATTTTACTGTCAGCATGGAAATCCCAAACATGATTCTGGGTTCTATGTGCGAGGGTATTTCTAGATGAGGCCCACGTTTGAATCAGTCCCTAGTAAGGCATACCACTTTCCCTAATATGGGTACGGGTCTCAGTCAGTTGAAGCCCTTGGTAGAGCAAAAGGACTAATCTTCCTTCAAATAGCAGAGAACTGCTGTCTACCTTGAGCTGGGTCATTCATCTTTGCTCCTAGACTCAAACAGGAACATCCAGACTTGCTGCAGGCCTTTGGACTGACAAGTCAGCTCTTCCAGGGCTCCAGCCTCTATAGACATAGGAGTTCATTCCTTTGGAAGTCTCCTTCCTTCTGTGTAAGTTGGTTGCTTCCCTGGAGAACTCTGACTGATGCACTGGCTCTAGTGTCAGAAGGGGCGATTTCTAATCCACGTGGCTCCCTGTTCTCAGATTGTCAGTGGAAGTCTCTATAGAGAGAAGACATCACAGTCCACGACACAGGCCATCTACCACCCAAGCAGCTAGACACTGTTATCAAGGTCAGGCCCCCAGCCGGGAGCAGAATATACCTAGGATGTACCAGGATGGGAGAAGGGTGTTTAGTGCGGTCTCTCACACACGTGCACAGCACACAAGCACCACGTCACTTGTGTCAGGCAGGCAGTCTTCTCCCAGCAGTCCTCACTAATGACACAAGATGTGGCCCGCTGCTTGGGCACTGTGTGGGCAGGTATCTAGCAATGAATATCACAACCGGGTTGGCCTGAGTCCAAATGGAAGCAACCTATTGTCAAACGGGTTAGCTGGACCCCTCCTAGGCATCTGCTAATCCAATCAGCAATACCCCACAGGCAACTCCATTGCAAAGCTTAACAGACATCACAACTTGGACATTGCCTCCTCTGTGCCATTTCTGACAAGGTTTCTAAGTGTGTCCTGATGAGCTGACTTGAGAGTTAAGGACAGCCACCATGGAGTTATGGGCTCTGCTGTCACATAACTTCCTCAAAACAATACCCTCAACTAACAACAAAAAGATACAGGCAGCTCTTTGGAAACAATTTTATTCAAAAGCTAATCTGAGGGCTGGGAAGATGGCTCGTGGTAGAGCGCTTGCCTTGCATGCCTGAGGCCCTGGGTTTGATTCCTCAGTACCACATAAGCAAAAAGAAAAAAGCCGGAAGTGGCAGTGTGGCTCAAGTGGTAGAGTGCTAGCCTTGAGCTGAAGAGCTGAGGGACAGTGCCCAGGCCCAGAGTTCAGGCCCACGAACGGAACCAAAAAAAAAAAAAAAAAAAGCTAATCTGAATAGCTGACATTTATAAGGGAGGATTTATGACAAGGACAAACACACAAGTGAAAACAAGGAAGGGCATTAAAATTCCAAGTCAGGAAAAGGCTGAGAAAGCCTGATTGCTGTGGCTGTCACACTAGGTCATTGCTCCTGTCACTATTGCATCTAGCCGAATCCCAGAGAAGGCAAAGAAGTGCACAGCTGCTAGGGAAGCCACCAGTATCCTCATCACTGTGTGAGGTAGGCCCCTCCTGATGCAAGCACACCCCAGCCTCTCAGGCTGTGCAGGTGCTCAGGGAAGCAGGCTATTTGGTGATAACTACAGCAAAGACAGCATTCCTTGCCTTCATTCTGGCAGTTGGAACACTCTGAGAGCCAGAACAAAAACCACTACCTACATGACAGCCTGCTGATCTGGACTTCCACAAATAGGTCTGTTCTCACTCCTGGTATAGAGAAAGAATAATTAGCTCCCTATTAAAGCATGGGTTACTGCTGTCTTAGTGGTAGTTTCAGGGGCACACACAATTTCGCCAGTAGGGGGAGATCTCATGCCAGCAGTCCATCCAAAAGCCACCAGTTTGCGATCTCATGTGTGCCCAACACATAAGAAAACAAAGAAATACACCATCCTTTTGAGGAACCTCCATGCTACTTTCCAAGTTTACACTCCCACCAACAGTGTAGTAAGGTTCCCTTTTGGCCACATCCCCTCCAGCATGTTACTAGATTGCTTGATTATAACCATTCTAACTGGGGTGAGGTAGAATCTCAAGTTGTTTTGATTTGCATTTCTTTTATAGCCAGAGATGTTGAACATTTCTTCATGTGTCTATTGGACATTCTTATTTCCTCTTCAGAGAAGTCTTTGTCTTTAGCCCACTTATTAATAAGAATTTTGTTTTGCAAATCAAAAGGTTGGACAAATGGGATTGCATAAAGTTGCAGAGCTTCTGCAGGGCAAATGACATAGCTAGCAAGATCAATAGAAAGCCCACGGATTGGGAGAAGATCTTTACTAGCCATACAACGGACAAGGGTCTCATATCTAAAATATACTTGGAACTCAAAAAATTAAACCCCCCAACAACCAATCCTCAAAGAAACAACTGCCCAATAAATAAGTGGGCGAAAGACTTAAAGAGAAACTTCTCTGAAGAAGAAAGAAGGATGGCCAATAGACACATGAAGAAATGTTTAACATCCCTAGCCATAAAAGAAATGCAAATCAAAACAACATTGAGATATCACCTCACCCCAGTTAGAACGGCAAAAATCAAGAACTCTAACAACAACAGATGCTGGAGGGGATGTGGACAGAAAGGAACCTTACTTCATTGTTGGTGGGAATGTAAACTTGTTCAACCACTTTGGAAAGCAGTATGGAGGTTCCTCAAAAGACTTCACATAGAACTCCCCTATGACCCAGCAATCCCACTTTTGGGCATTTACCCAAATGACCACAAACAAGGCCACACTAAAGCTACCAGCACAACGTTTATTGCAGCATTACTTACCATAGCTAAGATATGGAACCAACCCAGATGCCCCTCAGTAGATGAATGGATCAAGAAAATGTGGTATATATACACAATGGAATTCTATGCCTCCATCAGAAAGAATGACATTGCCCCATTTGTTAGGAAATGGAAAGGCTTGGAAAAAATATTAAGTGAAGTAAGCCAGGCCCAGAGAAACATAGGTCCCATGGTTTCCCTTATTTGCAATATATCTAGTAGATGTATGAGTCAAGCGGAAAAGGTCAGATAATGTGATGTCAGGAAAATGAACCCTTAGATATGTATTTTAATGTTTTTTTTCTTTCATGTATGTGTTTCTAATGCATTTATAAGATTATCTCTTTGTTGCTTTGTATGTCCCTCCCCCACAGTTTAACCCCTGCTTTCACTATATTTGATGTCAGTATAACTTGTGGAGGAGATGGGGAAAAACCAGTTGTTTAAGGATACAGGTGGACCTGTTGCAACAATGAGAAGTACAAGTTGTCATGTCCAAAACTAGCTTTACAACGTCGGTGGGGGGGGGGGGGGAAGGGGGGGAGGAGAAGGATTGGGATTGGGGGGGAGGGGGGAGGCTGGGAAGTGATGTGAAGGGTAAACCAAAGGAGGAGGCTGCAATGCTTGGTAAGAAATATACGCATTATCCTGCCCATGTAATTGTAACCCCTCTGTACAGTATGTTCACAAATAAAATAAAATTAAAAAAAAATTTTGTTTTGGTGGTGGTAGTAGTGTCGTGGGGATTGAACTCTGGGCCTGGACACTGTCCCTCAGCTCTTCAGCTCAAGGCAAGTGCTCTTCCACTTGAGCCACAGTGCCACTTCCAGTTTTCTGGTGGTTTATTGGACTTTACTACCCAGGCTGGCTTTGAACCGCTATCCTCAGAATTCAGCCTCCTGAGTAGGTAGGATTACAGGTATGAACCACAAGCGCCCCACAAGGCAGTTTTCTTTGAAGATTTGTTGTTGGGGGATTTAATGTTTTGAGTTCTAAATATATTTTGGATATGAGGCCCTTGTCCGTTGTATGGCTAGTGAAGATCTCCTCCCAATCTGTGGGCTATTGATCTTGCTAGTTATGACTTTTGCCATGCAGAAGCTCTGCAATTTCATGCAATCCCATTTGTTCAACCTTTCTTTGATTTGTTGTGTTTCTGGGTCTTTATTTTAAAGAAAATTTCAGCCTGTGCCAAAGAGCCCTAGAGTTTCTCCTATTCCTTCCTGTAATGTTTTTAGGGTGTCTGCTTTGACTGAGGTCTTTGATCCATTTGGAGTTGATTCTGGTGCAGGGTGATATATAAGGATCGAACTTTAATGTTCTACAAGTGTTTAGCTAATTTTGCCAGCACCATTTACTGAAGAGGCTTTCTTCCATCCTATTTTATTTTGGCTCCCTTATCAAAGACTAGGTGGCCATAGGTCTGCAGGTTAATTTCTGAGTCTTCAATTCCATTGGTCCTCAGGTCTGTTCTTGTGCCAGACCCAGCAATCCTACTTCTGGGCATTTACACAAATGACCACAAACAAGGCTATACTAAATTAGCTACCAGCACAACTATGTTTATCACAGCATTATTCACCATAGCTAAGATGTCCTGCAGTAGATGAGTGGATCAAGAAAATGTGGTACATATACACAATGGAATTCTATGCTTAGATTACAAAGAATGACATTGCCCCATTTGTTTTTGTTGTTTTTTTTTTTTTTGGGTCCAGTCGTGGGGCCTGAACTCTGGGCCTGGGCCCTGTCCCTCAGCTCTTCAGCTCAAGGCTAGTGCTCTACCACTTGAGCCACAGCGCCACTTCTGGCTTTTTTTCTTTTTGCTTATGTGGTGCTGGGGAATCGAACCCAGGGCCTCAGGCATGCAAGGCAAGCGCTCTACCACTGAGCCACCTTTCCAGCCCAACATTGTCCCATTTGTAAGGAAATGGAAGGACTTGGAAAAAAATCATATTAACTGAAGTAAGCCAGACCCAAAGAAACATAGGCCCCATGGTTTCCCTTATTGGCAATAATTAGTATATGTCTAGGATAATCTTATCAGATAAGCAGAAAAGCTCAAAAGCTATGTACATATGACCATATAAGATGATGCTAAGTGAAACAAACTCCAAGATATGGTTCCAAGAGGTTTTTCTTTTGTTGTTCTCAATGTACTAGGTGATTTCATTTTTCTTTTGTGTTTCCCCCTCTATGGTTTATCCTCTGTTCTCACTGCATTTGATTTTGGTACACTAAGTATTGTATAAATTTGTATCTGAATTAGGGAAGGAAAGGGGAACAAAAAAAATGGTGAGATAAAGGGAACCAATGCAACAGTGATACTCACAAGACACCATGTTGGAAATGATCTTTATAACTTGGGGGGAGGGTCAATTGGGGAAGGAAAGTGGGAGAAAACTGAGGGGGTAACAAGTTCAACAAGAAATGTACTCACTACCTTACTTATGTAACCAAAACCCCTATGTACATCACCTCGACAATAAAATTTAAATCAAAAAAATTAAAGAAATGCACCATCTGCAGTGGTTACAATTTGGGACATTTAATTATTTAATTGCTTCTTAAGAAATTATTGCCGTAATTAGAAATGGGCATAGGGAAGAGGTTAGAGAAGACAAAACAGATTAAAAAGAGGCAAGTACCATTTTCCAAGTATAAAACTGGTAATATTAAAAGTGACATGGTAGTACATTCACAGGACTACTATTTCGCTTTTCTGTTCTGTCTGGGGATGGTACGCAGGGTCTGGCACATGCCAGGCAACCACTCCACCAATGAGCCATCCCGCAGGAACTACTTCCTTCTAATGCAATAAAAAGACAGTATAACCTTTTACAGACTTTGCAGAAGCCAATGTGACTTCTCCTAACATGATATCACAAAGTTACTCTACTCACTTCTGCCACAGACTAGGTTTATGTGCACACATAAAATCACATATACAAAATGAAGAGCTCATAAAAGTGTTAAGTCAAACTAAGGCTCTGAATCACAATTAAAAGTGGCTATGGTAGGTCCCTTTGAAAAATACCCTCATGCCCCTACCGCTCCCTAACCCCCCCACCCACACCAATGCTGTGACAGCATAAAGGAAGCAAGTGGCTCAGGTCTGGTCCCAGGGAATCTGAAGGATCCGTAACTCTCTAGGTTAGCTGCTGATAAGCCACAGCGGTGCCTTGTGGGGTGGCTCTGGGTCCCTGGGCCTCCTCCAACATGATGCACTAGAGACTGGAGACAGCTGCCACACAGCTCTGACCACAGCTACTCTCTTGAGGCTCCCTCCTTCAAGGAAGCATGTAGCTACAGATTTCAGCTACTCCCTGACACCTGTACACAAGAACAGCCACCACTCCTGAACCCTACAGTGTACCGTAAGGCAAACAGGAGATAAGCACGCACACGCACACGCGCGCGCGCACACACACACACACACACACACACACACACACACACACACACACACACACACACACACACACACACACACACACACACACACACCATACAAAGCCATGGTCAGCTAGTCACAGTTCCTGGTGAGAAGTGCAATGCTAAAGAAAGACTGCTTCTAACAGATGTGCCAGAAGGAAAGACTGGTGTGGAACTCCCCTTGCCTGCATTCCTAGTGAGCACTCCTAGAAAACAGAAGCCAGGAGAGGATGAGCATTCAGGAGCCCTGGGAAGGGGAAGGGAACTCAGCAAAGTTCCTCCTGACTAGCCCTAAGTTCTCTTCTACCCAAACAGAAGCCTCAAGACTGGCCCATCCCCTATGGGTCAGAAACAGCTCACTGCTGAGGAAAAAGGCACATAGTATGATGTCATGAGAACAGGATAGTGACTCTACTTAGATCAAGGCCCCCAAAACAGAAAGAGTAGGAAGTGGACCCAAGGGTTTGGGCCTGTCCTGTACCATCCTGAGCAACTGTCTTACAAATCAATCCCAGGCTGTGGGATGGCCAGGTCCTCCTACAGCTGTCTGCCACCATATTCTTGTAGCCCAAAAAGGTTATCCCATTCCACAGTGCTCCATCAGCCAGGGCAGAAAAAGGAACCGTACCTGAGGTAATTGTCATAGTACCTCTGGAAGCTGAATAAAGGGTAAAGGCAGGAAGAGTACACTATTGGGGAGAAAAAAAATCTCTCCTATACCCTCCTCACTTTCACCTAAGATAAGTCAAGGCAACTTATGGAGATGCTTCAAGCCTGTCCTGCAAGCAAACATACTCTCATTACATGATGGCTTAAGGCAATAGGAGAGGGAGGCCCACCACCCACACACATGAGCCTGGGAGCTCAGCTATGCTGTTATTCAGGAAGGCACAGCAAAGACTCTGACTCTCTCACCACCATCCAGGAGAGGACCCAGCTGTGCATGACCACTGCCACTACTCATCCAGCAAATCCTTAATTCTCTGGAAACCACATTCCTTTCCCATTCCACAACAAGAACAACAAAGCAATGGGCATATCTGCCAACAAGCATCTACAAAGATGGTGGCAACCAAGGTGAAGCAGGGCCTGAAGTACTCCCAGCCATGCCATGGGAGACGGAGCCATGTGCTCAGTTGCTCATCCTGCACCACAGGCACCAACCACTTAGCCAACCTGGGTCCTGGAAAAATGAAACAAGTGGCAATGAAAGAGATTCTAAGAGACAACCGACTTACTCATAAACAGAGGGCTAAAATGGCCTCCTTCTCAGGACACATTTAATACCCACCTGGAGAAACAATAGTTACAAAAATGCCTCCCATCTGGCCACCAAACCATCTGCCTGAGGTAGCAAAGATCCCCATATGCTATCTCCTGGCTTTCCCAAGGGATCAGGACGAGTCAGAATGGCCATTAAATAGAGATGAAAGCTAGAGAAGTTAGAAAAAGAAATGGCTCAAATAATTCCTAGGGCAATGTTTATATAACAAGGGCAAATTCATTATACTATGAAGAATCCTTCTGGGTCTTCCAATTGAAAACCCACAAAGTTAACAAAAGAGGAACCCAAATCCTGAGGCTGAAACTGTTACATGATCAATCTCGTGCCCTGTGGAGCAGGACCAGATGTCAAAGTTGTGTGTGGCCTGTTGCATATCCCAAGAACCTTCTGAAGACCATAAGCCCCTTGGGACCAAAAAGGGCCCAAGCTCAGCGTGGTTTTGGAGAGCCATTCATCTGGTTGCTCTGAGTTATAGTGTCCGTACTGTACAGGCTATCCAAGTAGATTGAGGAGAGTTCTGCCACCAACTTCCTGTCAACAACTGCCTGGGCCATCCCATAGATGGCACCCTGTGAATCCAAACAAAATGAGTCATTAGTGAGGATGCTGTGGATAGGACCCCTTCTCCCACCAGTGTTAGCTTCACACCTGTAAACCACAACCCCTGTCCTGCCCATTTCCTGCATCCTTTCATCAAAAAACAGCTAGCATGATTTTTACAGGTACTTCCTAGATAAAAGCACTATTCTATGGGATTTACTCTGTGTGTGTGTGTGTGTGTGTGTGTGTGTGTGTAAATCTAGAGAAAAACTCCTTACTGCCTTTCCTGTGTCAAAATTTTCTTTGCAAATAAATGGACAAAACCACCTCCTGCTACATATATACATATATGTATGTGAGTATGTGTATGTCTCTGTATATATATGTATGTGTATGTGTGTATGTATGTGTGTGTGTGTGTATATATATATATATATATATATATCTGAGAAAAAATGCTTATTGACTTTCCTGTATGAAAATTCTTTGCAAATTGACAAAATCAGCTTCTGCTTTTGTAAAACCATTTCTAATTAACAAGGTACACCTCATCTTAGATGACAGACAACCCTGGGAAAGCCAATATTATCAACAACAATTAACTTCTATGCCAGAACCCAATTTCTATGGGAAATTTCTCCAGGAGTTCTTACCATTCCTGTGGTCTTGGCTTTAGGGTTCTTCATGATTTGAGTGACAGATTCCCGGATGTCTTTTAGGAACTGGATTGCTACTCGTTTCTGGGTATGCACTAACGTGATGCAGAAATGAATGCTGCAGGGGAAGAAACAGAGACATCATTCTAAAAGCAAGCAGACCTGGAAATGGGAGTTTGCTGGCTGCCTCTTCACATTATTTCTATTGTTCCCTATCCTGGCCATCGATGTTCTCAAATACTTTGGTTGTCAAGTCTGAGTGGTTGAGGGTTTCTCAGCATAGTCAAGAAATATCCTCTGTTCTGCCTGCCCCAACTGTCAAGCATGATTCCTTCAGCCATGACCTCTGAGACTTTTTTTTAGTGCAAGTACTGGGGCTTATCTGCCTGGACTAACTTCAAACCATGATCCTCAGCCATTACATCTTTTTTTTTTTTTGGTCGGTCGTGGGGCTTGAACTCTGGGCCTGGGCGCTGTCCCTCAGCTCTTCAGCTCAAGGTGAGCGTGCTACCACTTGAGCTACAGCGCCACTTCAAACCATGATCCTCAGATCTCAGCTAGAATTATAGGCATGAGCCACTAGCACCTGGCTTTATGAGACACTTTTACTTTTGAGGACCTGCTTTCGTAGGAAAAGGACCATATGGCTGGGGTCTCAAAGAACTGAATGAAGAAACTGTAAATCCCTGGAGGGATGAAAGGGTGTAGAAAATTGTGAAGAGAAAAAGAGTCTAAATGGAGCTGGTAATGGCAGCAACCTTTGAAGAGTAAGCTGTACATAAAGGACACAGGACAGACCTGTTTGGTCTGAGGGGAGGATTTCATGGCATCATGGAAGATTAGGTTAGAAAAGCATAGTGAAAAACACAGAAGCATGTCTGAGTGATCAGACACCTCCAACAGAATTTTAGCAAAACATTGCTCAGGTAGCATGTATCTTACATGCACAACTTCATGACTGTGTACATGAAGAATGAGAGTATGAGGTTGAGGAGAGAGGGAAGCCCACATGACCAACTACTTGCCTCAAGATGCTAGCACCCCATTCTACCAGCCTAAGGCTAGGGTCTTTCTTGTTCCTTATGTCTAATAACACCAGGTGGCATGACGGCAATCCTACACATCATATTGCTGCTCATAGAAGTGCTACTGAAGTGCTAGAGCCGAGCAGCTGAACTGTGTGTGTCGGATCTTCTCACTCCTCAAATCGCCAAATGATGGGGAGCAAATGGGGAGGACAAGAGTCTTACTCATGCATACCTGGGGGGGAACTGCAACTGGTTCAGGTTCCACCCCTTAGCAGTCATCAAGTTAGACAGTCGGTAGATATCAAAGTCCCGGGAGCCCAGTGCAATGACTGACAGTTGGGGATTCCCGAAAACAAAGATGCCTTTGATATTTTCTAGCCTGAAAACAAACATAAAGGAAATTCAGCCACACAGATTCCTCTGACCATATCTTTTAATCACCTAGTCTTCCCTGTAACACAATCTGACCTTCTGGGGCTTAACCTTCTCATCTTCTACACTAAAGAGAGACAGGCTGGGATCAGTGGAACTTAGAGATCACAGTCACACACAGAACCTTAGAACCCATGGCCAAAACTCATCAAGACCTAATGAATCAGAACCACTGGCTCACATATCTCTACATCCCTCCCAAGTTATAGCAGAGAAAAAAAGCCCCTCTCCTCCCCCCAGCACTCACTCCTGCACTGCTGCCCTCAGCCCTGGTCCTTCAGAAGGTGATCAATAGACTAGGGCTGGATGCACAGTTAAGCACACACCCTGAACTGACTAGCAGAAAAAGCAAGAGACAAGACAGGATCCCGTTCTCCACACATACTCTGACTTGAGGAAGCGAGTGGTTTTGATGATCTGTTTGGTAGCTTCAACATAGCCGTTCTCACCGAAGTACATCAAGGCAGCCCAACAGGCTGCAACAATGCCACCAGGTCGAGAGCCTGCAATGGTTGGGGAAGCGTAGATGCCACCCTGCCAATCTGTGCCAACGAAGAACTGGTAGCTCCTATACTTCTTGTCACTGTACAACAGCACTGATGAGCCTTTGGGGGCATAGCCATACTGAGGGGAGAAGTACATGGGTGAGAACGTAGCTCTGCCTGGAAGACCCAGTCACCCTCCCTTCATGTGTGCACACATGTACACACATACACATACCCAAATATGACAGAGTCTCCAAGATGCTTCCCACTCAGCGAAAAGTTCAAACTACAGTGTTGAGGGGGAGAAGGAAACTGAGGAACAAAGCTCAGACCCTCTGTGTTGGGGCTGGGAATCTGATGTCAGGGAAGAGCAGTCTGTGCAGTGAATGGAATTCTGCCCAGTGTGTGGCTCTCCTTGTTTAAAATCTTTCTCTGAGGTGATGGGTTAGGGTAGAAATAAGGACAGATTTCTACTGCAAGCCAAGAGGAATGGGAACCAAATCACATGGAACAACTAAAATCATAATCTGGCTTACATCCCATCTTTTTTGGCTTAATATTGCTCTGTGTGTGTGTGTGTGTGCACACGCGTGCGTGCGTGAGTGCGTGTGTGTGTGTATGTGTGTGTGTGTGTGTGTGTGTGTGTGTGTGTGTGTGTGTGTGTGTGTGTGTGTGTGTGTGAGGAAAGAGTAGTGGTGCCTGAACTGTGGGCCTGGATGCTGTCCCTTAGCTCTTGAGCTCAAGGCTAGCACTCTATCACTTGAGCCACAGTGCCACTTCCATCTTTTTCTTCTTACGTGGTACTCAGTAATCAAACCTAGGGCTTCATGCATGCAAGGCAAGCACTCTACCACTGAGCCACCTTCCCAGCCCCTGCACTTTCTTTTAAGAACAAAATGGTACTAGAATCTAGAGTTGACCCAGAAATCAACACTGTGTAGCAAATGTGGACTCCTAGGTAACTCTTGCTGAGCTAACAACATGGAGCTAATCTGCTCCCAGACCCATACAGAACTAGATGGTTAAGGAAAAGGGCACTAAAGCTGATTGGGAAGGACAGATTCTGTTTACAAGTTTATTGTAAATAACTTCAGATTTTGAAGAGCAATCTTCACTATGTTCTAGTTCAGAACAGTTATGAAAATATAATCTGAACCAGGTACATAGTCTGAGCCCACTGACACTTTTTCCATCTCTGAATATTTGCAAGAATTGCCAAATGACCCAAACTTCACCTCACAACATCAAGGGTTGTGAACACAGGCATTTCAAACTTTGTAAGCCAACCATTCTAAGTGTATGGGGGTCCTCTTCCCAAGGAAAAGGACCTATATCACCTATATCCTGTTATCTGAATGCCTTGCCTACTATAAACTAAGACCCTGATTTAATTTTATACTTGTCAATTTATTTTGTGGTTAATAATCAAAATAAACACCCACAAGCATTTAATTTTATCTCCTCCTTAGCTCACCTTATGGGTATCAGCTGAAATGCTGGTCACACCTTTCACCCGGAAGTCAAATGGTTTGTCCAGTGGGTATCCTGCTTTCTCCATAAAGACAATGAGGAAGCCCCCCAGACAAGCATCCACGTGAAGGGGTATTTTGTATTTGACAGCCAGCTAGTTCCAAAAAACAAAGGTAAGAGAATATAACTTTTGCAGAACATGGGTTGCACAGGTATGCTATAAACACAAGGCTATTCTGCATGTTCTCTCCCCCCCACCCCACCCCATGTAAGAACTTATTTCTGACATCTGACATTCCTAAACAAGTTTATCTTTCAGTAGTATTTAGCCTTCAAAACAACCCAATTGGAATGTGACATCTACTTTATAGTTAAACATGTGCCATCTCAAGCTCCCAGCACCACTAAGCAGGAAATGAATAGAGCTGTGACTTGGGGAAAGTCCTCCTTTGCTACTTAAGATGAAGCGTGTGGAATGCTGGTGGGCATATATGCGGATTCTTCCTGATGAGAATATAAAAGTGAACACACTCCAGAATTCTCTTTCACAAGCAGGCCTGCCCCAAGCAGATGCCAGTAACTTCAGAAGCTCCAAACAGAGCTACAGGGCTTACTCTAACTATTCTGTGGTCAAATCTAAAATCAAACTGCCTCTAAGGGCTGCCTATGTGGCTAAAGTGGTAGAGCCTAGCAGGTGTGAAACCTGGAGAGTTCAAACCCCAGAACTGCCAAACAAACAAAAACTACTACTATTTGCCAACTGCTGTGCCATTCGATTCTATTTTAAAATTTCAGTCTGTTGCAGCCTAGCTCTCTCATCACCTTGGCCACTTCGCAGACAGGGTCTATCACACCATGAGGAAACTGTGGGGTGGAGCAGACGAGCATAGCAGTGTTCCTGGAGATGGCTCTTCTCATCGCCTAGGGATTTAAAATTGAAGGGAAAGTGAGAGTCCACGTCAGAGATGTTCTCTTTTCTGCCACAAGAGGAAATGTGGGTCACTGACACAGTCTGGTCCACTAGTAGCTGCTAGTGGCCTGTCCATCACATACCTGGAAGACACCTCCCGCTGTAGGGCAGGAGGTCAGGACACAGACATTGTGCATAGGAGCATGAGGGAAAACTGGCTGGGAGCACAATGCAACACTGTGGAGCTAAGATCCAAAAATCCAAATGTTAAGTCCCCGCCCCACAAGCTACTAACAAACTCTAACCCAGTAAGGACTCACTCTCATTTATGCACTGCACTAACATAATAGCTTCAGCAAATATGGTTCTGATGGTATTCTAAAAAGTGCTTTTCTAAAGTATGAGGCATAAAAACAATTACTATTAAGATGACAATGAGTCCTGGGACAAGTTCATCCATTTGCATTTTATAAAATCTAAAGAAGTGCACTCATCAGCACAGCCACTGACAACTTTTTTACTGCTCCAGCTGTTACATACTTTTTTGGGGGGTGGGGGGAGGCTGTTTGCAACCAGAGAGGCAGTCAGTATAGCAAAGGACTCACTCGTATATCCACCTCCATCATCTTGTTCAGTGGAACCCGTACAATCTTCATCCCAAAGTAACAGGCTGCTTTGTCAAATGCAGCATGGGCACTTTGGGGAGCCACACTAGATGATGAGAGGAGAATAATGAAACACAGACAAAACAGGATTCAAGTGAGGACACATTAGCTAATCAAAATCACTAGGAGGAAAGTTCTGATTATTTTCCCTCAAACATATATCGTTTATATATTGTTTTCTAAGTATAAAGAAAAAGAGGTTAACTAAGTTTTCATAGAAACCTTCTCTTGCTATTTAGGAAGTTGTTGGAAACAAGAGAGAACTTAAAAAGTAATTCTAGATGGAGAGGATCCAAGGTATGAATTGAGACTGACAGGACAAAGTCCAGGACCAGCAGGTTCAGATCACGGTGAAGGGTTAGCTGCCAGTGTACTTCAATAAGAAGCAAGCTTCGTGACCCATGCTCTAGCAGACCTGTGAAGTTGCTTGATAGGGATGGGAGAGCAGAAGTCAAGCACAATCAGGCCAGTGGATCCTTCCAAGTCAAAGACCACAACCCTACACAAAACTGAAATCCCCATTTTCCTACATGTTCAAATTAGAATTGTAAACAGTGTTGAAAGAGAAACAGTCACAGGTACATATTTGCTTTCTGACCTCCCTCAGTTACTCCACTCTACAATTACTCTATTCTCTTAAAGGGAGAAATCACTCTATCATGAATGAATACCAAACATCAAAAACTTACCTAGGATGCAAATGGCAGCCTGGTATGTTCTCGTAAGGTAAATATGAGCCATATATATTTTTGAGATCATGAACTACCTTAGTGACTGAGACTGGCAGTAAAAAAGATTAACCCAAGGGGCTAGGAATGTGGCTTAGTGGTAGAGTGCTTGACTTGCATTCATGAAGCCCTGGGTTTGATTCCCTAGTACCACATAAACAGAAAAAGCCAGAAGTGGCACTGTGGCTCAAGTGAGAGTGCTAGCCTTGAGCAAAACAAACTTAGGGACAGTGCCCAAGGCTCTGAGTTCAAGCCGCAGGAGTGGAAAAAGAAATAACAAAAAAAAAAAGATTAGCCCAAAATGTATAGGATAAGTACAATGTACAGGAAACAATCTAATGAAAAAAAAATTAACCAAACAATATAAACATACAAAGGTGGTAAAGTAAGGAGACTGGGTCTATGTTTCCCCTAGATAATTAGCTCTTGATTTCCCCTGTTAGTTCCCTAGATGGTTTAGTTTTCTATTAGGTTCATCTGGTTCACGTTGCTCATACATAACACTTCACACACTTTGCGTGGTTTGGGTCTATATAAGCTTAGTGCTAGCTGCATTCTGGGCTGCTGGTCTTTGAGAAAAGAGTCCACCAGCAGTCCTCCGGCTTTCCAATAAAGACTCACAATTGGGCCTCTTAAATGGTGGCTTCTCTGTTTCTCATGACTGAGTTTCCTTCTAACAGTGGCAACATGAGTAAATCTCAAAAACAGCATTAAAGTATTTTCTCCCAGAAACAGTTCTCAGACAGCATTCCCTAGGAAGCACCTGAGGTAACCTACGACATTTAAGAAATGTATACTCAAGTAAAGTAAGTGAACAGTTTTCCTTAGGCTCCAGATAAAAGCACAGGATTTAAAGTTGTGGCTCCTAAGTGGGTCCCCTCTGGAAGGAGGATCCCAAATGATTGTGGTATAGTCACTATATGTAAAGGGTCAGGCAAGGTCTGTAATAGTAACTGACTGAAGGATCCATTCAAAATTCTGCTAGATGTGAAAGGGTAAGGCAGAGGGACAAGGCAGAGAAAAGAGGACTGGAGGGCAAAGGAAGAGAAGCAGCACAAAAACAGATTCATGGGCTATTTCATACAGCAGTACTCCAAACGAACAATATCAGAAAGGGAAACAGCTGCATTTACATACATTTCTGGAGTCTTGATCCCCTTCTCTAAGGCCAGGTCCCGATAAGCTTTGCAGGCTATCAGGATGCTTTCTGTTCCCCCAGAGGTAACCTACAATAAGAAGAGACGCAGATTTGAGCATGTTCTGCCACTTTGACCTTGACAATCTTTGATGAGGAAACAGATTAGGAGGTTGACTACACGCAGCAGAGCAGCTTCTGCTTTCTCTCTCAGAAGAAAACTTGACTTTGTTGCTAAGCCCAATTTTGGTTCAGAATGATAACTACTAAATAAGAATGAGTGGGTGCTTGGCACTGTCTACAAATACCTACATTTGCCCACATACAACCCAATCACAATCCACTTATATTTCTTCATTGAATCATTTCTTTTCAGATAGGATAGGGCATTTTGTAACACTCAAAATACCAGAATTACAATTTCCTCCCCAGTGTTGATCATCAAACCCAAGGCCTATGCATACTAAAGTACAGGTTTACCACTTAGGCACTAGCCCTAGTCTAGGATTATTAACTATAATTATTTGAGGTTGGGGGGGGGGGGGACATTCAGGGCTTTGTGCTTGCTAGGCAGGTAGGTGCTCTACCACTTGAGCCATACCTATTTTTCAAATAAGTCTCACATTAATGCTCAGGCAGTAGCTGTGATGATAGGCAAGTACTACCACACTCATCTTTCTGTTGGTTAAGATGGAGTCTTACAAAAATGTTGATGGCCTAGAACTTTTATTTCCTGATCTCCACCTTATAAGCTGCTAGAATTAAAGCATGAGCCACCTCATCCAGCCTTCATTTTATTTATTTTTTTTTTTAGGGGGGGGGTCTGGTTGTGGGGCCTGAACTCTGGGCCTGGGCGCTGTCCCTCAGCTATTTAGCTCAAGGCTAGCGCTCTACCACTTGAGCCACAGCGCCACTTCTGGCTTTTTTCTTTTTGCTTATGTGGTGCTGAGGAATCGAACCCAAGGCCTCATGCATGCAAGGCAAGCACTCTACCACTGAGCCACCTTCCCAGCCCCAGCCTTCATTTTAATTCAGATTTCTACGACTGAACTGGGTAAGGTGGCTATGACCATAGATGTATGCCTATAGTACCATCTACTGGGAACACTGAGGTAGGAAGAGCACATAGACCAGGAAGTTGGGTATACCATAGACAACATAGTAAGACCCCTATCTCAAAAAAAATTTTAACTCAATAGTGCTGAAAAATGTCCAATTGTAAAGTTACCATTCTAGTCAATTATGCAATACATTAGAAGATCAGAGACACTGGCTTTCCAAAGTGAACTAACTGCTAGGGCTTTTTTGTTTGTTTGTTTGTTTGTTTGTTTGTATTGCCAGTTCTGGAGCTTGAACTCAGAGAGGCTCAAGGACAATGCCCAAGCCCTGTGCTCAAGGCTAGCACTCTACCATTTGAACCACAGCACCATTTCCAGCTTTTTCTGTTTATGTGGTACTGAGGAATTGGAAGCCAGGGCTTCATGCATGCTAGGCCAGCACTCTACCGCTAAGCCACCTTCCCAGCCCTAACTTGTAGTTTTAGTAAGTTTGAAAGATAGAAAAAAAGTGGAAGTTCCTACTTAGAAGTTTGTTTCCTTACGTACTTAAAACTGAAAGAAAAATCCTAATGTTTTAAGTGAAGCTGAAGTTTTCCTAAAGCTAGGTCCAGCCCTTCTAATGGACTGCTTGAATTCTACTAGAGCTGAAACAAGAAGGTACAGAGGTCTTTTCCTAATTTCCTAACTTGATAACAGACTTAGGCAGGTCAGAGGCCAATCTGTTCCTGACAATATTCCTTATACTTAACCTAGCATTTGATATCTAACAGAGTTTCAATCAACATTCCTTTGTTTTGTTTCTTGAGACAGAGACTTGAAATATGTAGCTCCAGGTTGGCCTCAAACTCAAGATGTTCTTGCTTCTGCCTCTGCAATGCTAAGGTTACAGGCAAGCAACACTTCTTTTTTAGAAAAGGTCTTCCTATGTAGCCCAGGCTAGCCTAGAACTTATTATGTAGTTAGGATACTTTTGAACTTGTGATGCCTTGTCTCAGTTTCTCTAGTTTAAGGAGTACAGGTATGTAATCAGGCTTCAATCAGCAGTTTTTTTATTTCAGGTTTGTTTGGGGGGGGGGGGGGGTTGTTTTTATTTTTTTCCAACTGTGGTGCCTGAACTCAGGGTCTGGGTACTGTCTCTGAGCTTTTTCACTCAAGGCTAGAACACTACCATTTTGAGCCACAGCACCACTTCCAGTTTTTTGGTGGTTAATTGCTGATAAGACACTCACACACTTTCCTGCCTGAGCTGGCTTTTAACCACGAATCTCAGATTTTAGCCTCCTGTAGCTAGGATTACAGGCATGAGCCACTGACGCCAAATTAAACCAACATTTCTCAAAGCCTAACTTGACTCTCAATAAGCTGTGACCCATACAGGCATATCCTAGCTAACTGACTAGCTTTTGGTAATACCTGAGAATAAATAATTCCAAAACAAACAAAAAGCTATAGCACTGAGCTTTATTACCATCTGTGAAGTGAACTTTTTTTTTTTTTTGGGTCCGGTCATGGGGCCTGAACTCTGGGCCTGGGCGCTGTGCCTCAGCTCTTCAGCTCAAGGCTAGCACTCTACCACTTGAGCCACAGCGCCACTTCCAGCTTTTTTCTTTTTTGCTTATGTGGTGCTGAGGAATCGAACCCAGGACCTCATGCATGCAAGGCAAGCACTCTACCACTGAGCCACCTTCCCAGCCCTGTGAAGTGAACTTTCTATGTTCTAGTTTTTTGTGTAGCTTAATATGAGATGGACTGGGAAAGAGTGATTACTAAGCTTTTCTAATATCCACATATAGGACAAAAATAGCGTTGGATACAGAATCCCAGTGGTCAAGAACTGTATGGAAGCTTAGCTCAAGAAAGTCATTTTTTTGCCCATGTAATTGTAACCCCTCTGTACAGTATTTTCACAATAAAAGAGTCATTTTTTTTAACATAGGTAGGCTTGATGAAACGTGACCATGCTAGGATGGGACCCTTGTTTGTGGATCTCTACATTTCTATGTTGGTGAAGACTAAGTACTTATAGCTAAGATCAGCTCTACAAGTCATGAGTATGTCTTGTGTCCTAGCACAAAACCACAGGGTGTCACATGAGAAGCTGTCTTCATCTTCACAAGATAGTTGTTAAGACAATTAGGGAAGACATAGAAAAGTCAAATCTCTAGCATACCACTTTCTTACTAATGGCAGGTAATAACCTAAACAAAATATTCCCCACCAAGGGGTTTCCTTATCTTCTGACCAGTGACTGTGTTACTAGGGAGAAATGAGCAACTTGGGAGAAAGAATAGGCTTGACTCTATATATCAGAATTACTTCAGGGGTACAGTGTAGATTAGTTCAGTAGTTGAAGCTTTAAGTATGTAATTACTTTCTTCCAACTGGGCAAAGAGAACTTTTAATAGACTCTCAGAACAGATCTAGAAATTTTAACACAGAGCAAAGCTTTAGAGGAGCCCTGCCTCCAACCAAACAGGGACAGAGAAATCACCCAACCATCTGGATAGAGCCACCTCAGGATGCATCAAGGTGAAGAAAATGGCAATTACATAAATGTGGAAAGAGGGGATAGGGGTGTGTGCTCTTTAGAAAGTAAAGCCCAACTCAGAAGGAAATAAGCTGAGGGACAGAAGGCATTTCTTTGTAACTGTCCTTCATTCTAGGAAGAAAACTACAAATCATCCTTCAAGAAAACAAAGAGTTCAGATTGGACAACAAAGCAACAAAATGAGACCAAAGACCAATGAAAGAAAAGTAGCAAATGGCACTAATATAGAACTAATCAATCATGGCAGGAATACCAAGAAGCATAACAAACATGGCTAAGAATGGAGCCTTGACTTGAGGGGGAAAAAAAGTCTGAGATAAATTTAGAGGACCCAGATTAGAAAAAGCCCAAGCCTGAAAGATCAGTGGTACTCCTCATGCAGAGAGCTGTGTTCGTCTGGCCAGAGATGACTGGGATGGCTGCACACTCATAAAATCATATTAGCATCTGCATAACATAGAAAAGATGTGGGAATGAGAAGGCTCAGAAAGACCTTCATGTGGGGGGAAAACAAACAAAAAGCTCTATAATGGAACTGCTAGATCCAACTATATATATATATATATATATATATATATATAAATGTTGCAGCAACCCTTCCAAGTGAAATAACTTAAAAGCTTGCCAAAACATTAAACTGTTGTTAGCCACCACTGAACTGAAACAAAGAAATATACCAAACACTAAAACAGAGAAAAACCCAGAATCCAGATAAAGTATCTGCCAAAGCTAGATGTTTCCCTCAGGGGGTACCAAGCCTGAAGATGCTTGAACCAAAACAAGGTATAGTGAGGGCCTACTCAAAGTCAGAGTCTAATAAGGGATGGCAAAAACTACCACACTTTTCCATGTGCAAGAAATAAACCTCATAAACACAAAAGAAGGTTTCTTTTCTGAACGCAACACTCAGAAGAAGAAAATCTCTCAAAAATATGCAAAATGTTAGTACATAATGTGAGTGTGATATCTGAATTCACAGGGCCTCCATGGTACAACATAGCAAGGGAAGATGGGCTTCAACTAGTTCCAGTGTGGTAGCAATTTCCCGTACTTCACAGCAACTGGAAAAAGTAATTAAAAAAAAAAAAAGTGCTTTGAAAGAACGTAACTTCAGTCTAGCCTCAAAGAATTCCTGTAAGTTACCAAGAAAAGGAGTGGCTCATATTGCAATAAATAAATAAATAAACAGCACAAGTGTAAGGAAATCCACCCAGAGTGAAAAACAACAGAATCAAGATCAAGACAGGTAAGGCTCATGGACCTTGGAATTATCAAACACTGAATATAAAGTATGTGTAATATATTTAATAAATGAATATAAACCAAAGAAAGGGATTGTAACCAACCAACTTAAAAGAATTTTTAAAGTGAGTTCTCAAGAATAAGAAGCAAAGCCGGGTGTCAATGGCTCATGCCTGTAATCCTAGCTACTCAGGAGGCTGAAATCTGAGGATCACGGTTCAAAGCCAGCCCAAGCAGGAAAGTCCGTGAGACTCTTATCTCCCATAAAACACTAGAAAACCGGAAGTGGCACTGTGGCTCAAGCAGTAGAGTGCTCATCGTGAGATGAAGAGCTGAGGGATAGCGCACAAGCCCAGAGTTCAAGCCCCACAACCAACAAAAAAAAAAAAAAAAAAAGAATAAAAAGCATACCATATGAAATTTTAAAGCTTAATGGAAAAACCAGAATAGATGAAATTGAAAAGAGAGAACTCATAAAACCATCTACATATCATCCAGCTGAGATGCTCCAAGTAAAAGGCAATCTTTCATCTAAGCCATGCCTGCCCCAGCATCTGCTGCTGAAGAATACCTGTGCTTCTACCAGTCATAGTTTTCATGTTATCCATTTTCTCTGGCTGCTGTCAAATACAATAATGTGTGTTGGCTCTTATGAAGTACCTCTGAGCCTCTCTTTTCTACTTGTTTCTCTCTGGATTATTGTTAGGTGCCTTGTGTGGGGTTTTTTTTTTTTGGGGGGGGGGGAGGGTGGAGGGAGGAAGGTGTAGATGACAAGAAGTCGTCTGTTTTGTTCCCTAAGTATAACTTTGAAATCATATAAATATTTTACAGAGTTCTAACTCAACCAGAGCTCCTTAGAAAAAGGGTGATTCTAGATCTGGAGTAAGATAATCCTGAATATTTTGTCAAAAAGAAAGAAAAGTTTTCAAAGACTATTTCGACAGCTGAGTTGTTAAAAAGTACCTTGGAGCCAAAATGGAGACAATCCTAGTGGCCAAAAATGAAATACTTTGAACATCATGCAGACTGATCACTGCAATGGCCTCAAGCACACGGTGCCTATGATTTTCTCTATGCTGGACATGTATGTGAATTATTTCCAGTTCTGGCACTCATAAATTAATTGCTAATATAAGCACCCATGTACATACATCCTGATGCACACATTTTTTTTTTCTATAGCTTATCTGGAGTAGCCAAATTTCTAGGTCACAATTTACTAGGTATCTTCAATTTAGTAGGTAAGGCCAAATTGTTTTGTGGCTATTTGATCTGTGACCTCTTAAAGTTTATAAAGACACTAATGACAAAAACAAAAACAAAAACGTGCACTATCACCATCTCTGTCCATGAGTTACCATATTTAGAGAGTAATTCATTGCCAGATTAGTGATGGTTCAGTTTCTCAAAATTTTGGAATTTTGTTTTGAAAATAAATGCCAGACATACTACTATTGTTAGGTACCGAATACTTGATTATGTTGATTTTCATGGTGAAATGTACTAGTAAAATTAAAAAAAATTCTTGCTGTTAAAAAACCTAAAATAACATTTTTGTCTTCTAATGGGTCCCCCATCATTAAATATGCAGACTTTATTATGATTGCAAAGTATAAGACAGGGTCTCTAGGCTACCATACTCAGCACATTGAGTCAAATCTAAAGCTCAGTTTGTTCTAGAGGAGGCAATATGACATAGTAATGACAAACCTAAGCAGAAGTTCGTCTATCATGGGTTAGGAAAACTAACCATGTCTACTTGAAAGAGCAGAGAACACCAACTCCTCATGTATGTCCAAGACAGAATGATACCAACTAAATCAGTCAGTTTATAGCAAAATAATCAACTTCTGGCTCAGGAAGAGTGAAAAGACATTAGAAAGACTGCTAGGTGGGTCGACAGAACTATAAACATAGAGGTTGTTGAATAGGGGTGTAGGTGAGAAAGAATGACAGGGGGAGCAAGAGAAGTGGAAAGACAGAGCAAAATGCTGACATTGCTGGTGTTCTCTATACCATCCCAGCATCTTTATGGAGATTTAAGTATTATAAAGAAGTAAAGGGAAAAAAATGTCTAGAAGAATATACACCAAAATGCTCATGTTCTAGATTACAAAATTTCAAGTAACATTTTAAACTGTACTTTATCTCGATCTTTCTACAATAACACATCAATTACTTGTAATAAAATAGTTTTAATGGTCTTCAATTTAAGGTTTAAAAATGTACCATCATTTGATGGCACCCACAAATACTTACACACCCACAGCAATCTGGGCCCCCATTGAACAGGGAGCAGCTCATCCTCACAATTTCTGCTTCTAGCTTACGTAGTCCTGGGAAGACATCTGGATGCAGTGGGTTACTCCATGCAAAATTTCCATAAGCCTGTAAAAAAATGCAAGGAGATGCAAGGTAAGAGTATTACCTTGCACAGAATAAAGCGTCATGCACTAAAAGTCTCTAGGTATTAAGCCCAATGCTAGGAATTAGAAAGAGAAGATACTATTTCTCTCAGAATTAGAAAGAGAAGAAGATTATTTCTCTCAACTTAAAGATTAAGCCGGGTGCCAATGGCTTTCACCTGTAATCCTAGACCTGAGGAATGTGGTTCGAAGCCAGCCAAGGCAGGAAAGTCTGTGAAACTTATCTCCAAATGATCGCAGAAAAAGCCAGAAGTGGCACTGTGGATCCCATGGTAGAGTGCTAGCCTTGAACAAAAAGGAGCTCAGAGACAGCGCCTAGGCCCAGAATTCAAGCCCCAGGACTGGCACAAAAAAATTTTTTAAAAAGATTAAAATATAGTGGAGGGCTGGGAAGGTGGCTCAGTGGTAGAGCGCTTGCCTTGCATGCTCAAGGCCCTGGGTTCGATTCCTCAGCACAACATAAGAAAAAAGAAAAAAGCCAGAAGTGGTGCTGTGGCTCAAGTAGTAGAGCACTAACCTTGAGCTGAAGAGCTGAGGGACAGCGCCCAAGCCCAGAGTTCAGGCCCCACGACCGGACCCCCCCGCCAAAAAAAAAACACAAAAATATAGTGGAAGAGACAACATCAAATCTTATAATGTAGCAAGGTAAGTATAAATGTAGTTAAAGGTGGACTATAAAGGTGGACCAACGGACCAGTGTGAAGTCACCGTTTTGCCTATCATTCCTAATTAGATGTGTACACAGTGCTAAGGGACACAAAGAAGAAATAGCTAACACCCTGAGTACTTCGGAGGTGTCTGTTTAGTGGAACCTTGAGAAATGAGTTCAAATTTATCATCTAGAACAGGAGGACCAACAAGACTGAGCATAAGCATTTATTTAAAAATGGCAGAACACTCATTCACAAGGGGAGGTGCAGGAATAGTTAAAATAAGATAGGAGAAAAGTAGCTCATGAAGGAACTCATATGCAAGCACATGAGAACATGATTAATATAGATCATGTAAACTTGTGAAAGACTTCAAGAATAACCAAATTTAGCCAAGCAGAACCACTAATACTTAGTAAGGTACATACAATTTTATAATTATAGACATAAAGGCTTTAAGAATCAAGAGTCAAGTCGTTATGTCAAAAATGAACTTTACAACCTTGTGGGGGGGGGGAGAATTGAGGGGGGGTGGGAGGATGGGAAGGGATGTGAAGGGGAAACAAAGGAGGAGGTGACAATGCTTGATAAGAAATGTATTCATTGTCTTGCCCATGTAATTGTAACCCCTCTGTACAGTATTTTCACAATAAGAAATATTAAAATTTAAAAAAACAATAAAACAAAAAAAAAAGAATCAAGAGTCAATTCCTGATATTATAGGATGATCAGGGTTTTTTTTTTTTAAATTTAACTAGAAATAAAAAACAGCTAAAGACCATTCTAAGGTCCCCCAAGAATAATTAACACATAAGAGAAACCACTGCTTACCTTGAGCTGTGTGATTTGAGGCTCTCCCCTGAATCTCCTTATCAAACAAAATTGTCCTAGCATCAAAAATCTCAAATGACAAGATACCCCTTTATAGGAGACTGCCTTCTACATGGGCCTTGTAAAGCCAACAAGCATAAATTTTGCTTTTATACTGAGAAAGCATTTTTAAATACTATTATGTATATTTACTATATATGCACAAGAGAAATCTTCTAAACCTGTTTTATATCAACAATAAGCTTTCCTGAAGTTAAAAAAATTACAGAGGGAAGGAAGAAAGAGTGCAAGTAAACTGGCACAGAGCTCAAGCATCCACCAGCATGGCACTCACCTGCACCAGCAGCTCTGTGAGCTTCTGCTCCCCACTGTACACTGTTCCCGAGGCTCTCCCTTCTTGCCAGAGGACATCTGCAGAGAAAGTCAAGGTCACTTGGCCAACAAGTGGGTAACTCTAAGACAGTTAAGTTCTAATAAAGAAGATAAACCCTCTGGACACAGAAATTGCATAGAAATCCAATATCATTCTTAGTATTAGAAAGAAAATTATTTCAATAAAGCTCTAGAGGCAAAATAAAGACAAAAGATTATGAACTAGTGTCAACCACAGCATGAAAAGTTCAACAGCATTAATAGTGTAACAAAGATAAAAGCTCACTTAATAAAAACTATGTAGCTCAAGCAGCAGAGTACCTGCCTAGCAAACACAAAGCCCTGAGTCCAAACTCCAATATTGCCCCCAAAACCCAGTATTTTAATATGATCTTAAACATGCATATGTTTGTGTTCATAAGAGCAGTAATAACTAACATTCATTGAATACCTACTATATACCAGATATTATACATTCCCATGTATGATCTCAATCACTATAATCATTCTTCTGATGAAGCAGAAGTTACAGAAAGTAAATATTCTTCCTAAGATCATAATTTAAGTGGCAAAACCATGCTGTGATTGCATAGGTTATGATTGCATAGGTTATGCTCTTCAACAGTAAGCTATCTGGTATACTTCTCATATGAGCTCATGCTCCTATGTGCATATACTATACAAATACTACTAACCTTTTGAGATAAATGGTAATTAGATAGGTAGGTAAATAGGTGGGTGGGTGGGTAGGTAGACAAATGTAGGCATAGTTACTGATGTATACAAATGTATCTATCTAGATATATGTCATCTGTCTTCCTCTGTTTATGATGGAATGTGATTTTTTATTTTGTGGCTTCATAAAAATTTTACAATATTGACATCTATAATTTACTGTATTATGTACTTTTTAAAATACAAATTTATCTGTTTTATTCATATTGACAAAAGGAAATGGAACCAAGTTCTACTGTCTGAGATCTACTTTCTCTATAGATGAAAGATAAATCAAAAAGTAATTTTTACAGTATGAGATTCAGTCTTTGAAACAGGAACAGGACATCCTGAACACAGTAAGCACCAGGGGTGAATTACTCTTAACCTATGGGAAACACAGAATGATAACAAGGAAAGAGAGTGCCTATGCCAAGCATCTTACCCATGGAGCTGTATTCCTTGAGTTTCTCCAGAACTGCAGGTGCACTCAAACCCTGGGAGGGCAGAGCTTTCACATACTCTTTGTCCACTTTCAAGAATGACATGTTCTTGCTGATATCCTCCTTGGCCTTATTCAACTTTTCTTGGATCTTGAAAGTTATAAAAAAAAAATTCTCATTTTGATTTTTTTGATTATTTGTTTTGCCCATCCTGAAGCTTGAACTCTGGGCCTGGACACTGTCCCTGAGCTTCTTTTACTCAAGGTTAGCAATCTACCACTTGAACCACAGTGCCACTTCTGCCTTTTTTTGAATAATTTAGTGGAGGGAAGAGTCTCATGGACTTTCCTGCCTAGGCTGGCTTCAAACCACAATCCTCATATCTCAGCCCCTTGAAAAGCTAGAATTATACGTGTGAGCCACCAGCACCTGGCTCCTTTTGATTATTTTAACAAGAAGATGAACCTGAAGTACAGGAGTGCAGAAAACCCAGGTATAAAATGTTCTAGTGAACTATGACATCTTTCTTAAAGAGATGTGACAGTTATCAGAGATGCACTCCGTTTCCTCATGCCCCTTTCCTGACATGGTTTTAGCTGGTTTGCATTTTCTGCTTTAAGTGCTGATCTGAGTGGAGTATTTGGCCCCTGGTATTGCCTAAGCAGCAGTTGTAGTGAGCCAAAGAGACAAAAGGTAGAGTCATGAAACCAGCCAAGCCACAGTAAAAGGGATCCTGGTCAATGTGCAAGCAATGAGCAACTTCAACCGACATTCAAGGAGGTCCCATAAAACTCCTTCTGGACAAGCAGAGATGTTAAAAAAGCCAGGGTGACTATACTGACCAGGTACTGTCTGACCCTGAAATACAAGGGGGAGCTAAGGTCCTTTCTGCTACATATGTTATTAGTTACAATTATTTTTTTTTTCTATCTTCCTAGCCACAGCTTCTGAGTGTTCATCCTGTCTCTTTCTCTCTCTGATTCAACAGGTATTTACATTCTAACATTCTCACTCTCTCAACACGGTATTTGCTAAATAATTGCTGAAGGCAAGGCCACAGATACAGGGTAAACAAACTTAGGTAGTGAGATGCATGATGAAAACCCCCCCCTTGGCTCATGAAGCTTATTTTATTTTATTTTATTTTTGGGGGGAGGTCCGGTCGTGGGGCCTGAACTCTGGGCCTGGGCGCTGTCCCTCAGCTCTTCAGCTCAAGGCTAGCGCTCTACCACTTGAGCCACAGCGCCACTTCCGGCTTTTTTCTTTTTTCTTATGTGGTGCTGAGGAATCAAACCCAGGACCTCATGGATGCAAGGCAAGCGCTCTACCACTGAGCCACCTTCCCAGCCCCTCATGAAGCTTATTTTAGCATGAGAAACAGAGAGAAAGTCAGGTAAGCGAAAATGCTAAGATACAATGAGAATATGTAGACCGAATTGTAGAGCTGAAATTATAAAAAGCTTGAGTGGAAAGTGTAGGGAGAAAGGCTATATGTCATAATTAGTGTATGGCAAGATGCTGTGGCTTCATCAATGTATTTGGTAATGTCTGATGCTCAAGATCTTATTCCAAACAATGTATGATTAGAATACACCAGAATCTTCTTAGACATGGCCTTCAATGAGACCAGAGGAAAGCTACTCCCGGAAAGCTCACCACCCTTGCTTTTCCATGCTGAGTTATGTTGAGGTATGCTATGGACATGGGTATATTAATTGTAAATTAAAAATTCTGTGCATACACTGAGTTATTCTAAATTTTAAAAAATTAAAATGAAAAGTTTACCAAAAAGGACAGCAAGTACTTTTTCACCCCCCAATTCTTACCTCTACATTACCCAATTTTAATTTCTTAATAGTACTTATTTCAGTGATGTCCTTTTTTTTTTTTTTTTGCCGGTTGTGGAGCCTGAACTCTGGGCCTGGGCACTGCTCCTCAGCTCTTCAGCTCAAGGCGAGCACTCTACCACTTGAGCCAGAGCGCCACTTCCTAGTACTTACTTCAAAACGATATTTATATGCATTTGTTTACTTGTTTACTTTCTGTCACTTCTACTATCAATTCCACAGGAGAAAGAATATGGTACTGTTCACCACTTTCTCTTCAACACTCAGAAAAGTACCTGACATCAAGCAAGTACTCAAGAAATATGTTCACTAAGCAATTGAGATGTGAGTTTATATATATACAGACAGAAACACACACACCCAGAAAATACCATTCTGTCTGTAAAGATTATCCGATCTCCATTTTTCAAAAGCAGATTCTTAGGTTTAAAGGATTTCCAATTCTATTATCTTACAAATTTTATCTCAAAAAACCTTAAAACTGAAGGAAAAAAGTGAGGTGGACAAGATGAGGGAAAATGCAGGGAAGACTCAGGAAGGTCCCAATTTCCTTTGTCATAGTTTGTCCTCCATATTATCTCCCTTCACCCCAGGAAACTGAAGGCAACAGTAAAAGAATACTTAAACAAGTAAAGTTGAGGGACAGGGCAGAACACTGGGGCAGATAGGGCACTTCCTGAGCCTGGCAAGGAGCCTGCTTGGCATATCTCCACCTGAGATATATAAAAAAAAAAAGAAAACCACAGAAGAGAGATAATCTGAGTATGACAGAGGGCAGAGAGGACACTATGGCAAAACAGGCACAAAGAGCAAGCTCTAATCAGGAACCAAAGCTGCCTGCCTGCTGTGTTTGTGACTGTTTTTCCTGTAGCACAGCCAGGCTCACTCTTTAACCTGTCCACTTCTCACACAATATATGCAGTATAAATATTCGCTTTACAGAAACTTTACCAATCCCTTATTCCCTAAGTGCCCCACTCCACCAAGTAGAGACAACATAATTGTCTCCAAACACTGCCAACATACATTCTTCCCCTTAAAACTATTAGGTATAACAAATAGAAAGAGGCATGGCTCTACGAGTGAAAAGACCTTTGAAGATCCCACCTACCTTGCGACCAATAATCGGCATCTTCCTGATGACTTTAAAGAATTTCTTTTTAAACCTTGACCATAAACCTATGAGAAATAAGTTTCTATTAGTCCTATGAACTTCCAAGAATGTGACCTGATCATCAATAGTGAACAGAGTAAATTATATACTCAAACACTGCTAAGAAAATCAATTTTTTTAAATCAGTCTTGCTTGGATTTTTTTTTTTTTTTTTTTTTTTTTTGTCAGTCGTGGGGCTTGAATTCTGGGCCTGGGCATGGTCCCTGTGCTCTTCAGCTCATGGCAATGGCAAGAGCTCTCCCTCTTGAGCCACAGCACTACTTCCTGTTTTCTGGTAGTTAATTGGAAATGAGAGTCTCCCTGACTTTCCTGCCCGGGCTGGCTTGAACCTTAATACTCAGATCTCAGAGTAGCTAGGATTACAGGCGTGAGCCAACTGCACCCAGCTTTTTATTTTGTTTTATTTTGTTTTGCTACTCCTGGGGCTTGAACTCAGGGCCTGTGCACTGACCCTGAGCTTCTTTTGCTCAAGGCTAGCACTCTATCACTTGAGCCACAGCACCACTTCTGTTTTTTTCTGTTTATGTGGTACTGAGGAATCGAACCCAGGGCTTCATGCATGCTAGGCATGCATTCCCAGCCAAGAACATCTATTTTTAAGTGTTTTCACCATGGGAAAAAAAGGATATCTAAGTTAATGAATATGCCACTTAGTCTGATTTAGCCAGTCCATATCATACACATCCTTCAAACATCGTGTTGTACATCATAAATATAACCTTTGTCAGTTAAAATTTTTTAATTTAAAATAACAAGTACAAGTGTAAAAACAGTTCATGACTTTTCATAATTCACAAATTCCTCTCACAGACCCAATACTCATGTAACCCATGATTATTGTGATTACTATGCCCATTCAATTATGGGGAAACAGGCTAAGAGAGATTAGGGTGCTGCCCAACACACCCACAGACATCTAGAGTTTATCCTCCCCAACACATCAAGCTAACTGCTGCTGATACACTGTAGACAACCTCACAGTTAAAACCAGAACCCAACCGTTCAGGAGCAAGCCATGAGCTGATGATCACAGAGTGCAAGCAACTAAGGAAGGCAGTGCCCCCGACTGCTACCAGCTCTACCTCTAGCTCCCATATCTAGCTCAACCACTTCTCCTCCACTTTCCATATTCTGTTCCAGAACTACCCTCCCCCCTCAGGAAGGGATTCAGAGGTTAAAGCTAAATTTAATACTAGTCCAGATTTCAGCCTCCAGTAAAATATACTAAGCACTACAGGATTGTGTTCAGTAGCTCACAGCATAGTTCTACTTGAGTAAGATGCTGGAAGAAAAAGGTGAGTTTATCAAAATTGTCACTAATCTTTGGAGAAAAGATATCCTTAATTATGTCTGGAATTCAATTCAGAAATTATTTTGTGTGTATATGTGAAGCAAAAGGAAATTGTTAATATTCAACAACTTTTGTTGTGGGGGGAGGGTGTCTGCACTTAGGATCTCCAACTTGTTAGGCTCATATGCTACTACTGGAGCTCCAGACCTGACTTTTGCTGCTGTTGTTTTGAGAAAGGATCTCAAAACTGGCAGTTAGTCCTCTAGCTCTCACACAAATTACCCCTCAAGCCAGCTAGAATTACAGGTGTGAGTCACCATTACCACCCAGTATTCAACAGTTTTTTACCTTTAGAAGCTATACTCATAAGTCAGGCACCAGTGGCTCATATCTATAATCCTAGCTACTCAGGAGGCTGAGAACTGAAAACTGAGGTTTAGATCCAGCCTAGGCAGACAAATCAAGAGATTTTAATCTCCAAATAACCAGCAAAAAGCCAGAAATAAAAAAAAGCCAAGTGGTAGAGTGACAAAATCAAGAGTACAAGGACCTGAGTTCAAGCCCCAGCACTAGCAACAAAAAAGGAAAATAAAAACAAAAAGTATCCTACACTCATGTTCAAAGTGATTCAGACTGACACAAATATAAATAGATAAACAGTATCACTTAGTAAGAAGATCATTTGGCAAACATGTATTCTTATTACTAAACAATACATATTATTAAAAACAAACCAACTAGGCTGGGAATATGGCTTAGTGGTAGAGTGCTTGCCTAGCATTCATGAAACCCTGGGTTCCATTCCTCAGTACTACATAAACAGAAAAAGCCAGAAGTGGTGCTGTGGTTCAAGTGGTAGAGTACTAGCCTTCAGCAAAAGAAGCTCAGGGGCAGTGCCCCCGGCCCTGAGTTCAAGCCCAAGACTGGCAAAAAAAAAAAAAAAATGACTTATGGTTCATCCCAAATAGTTTTATATGGTACATCTCATTAGTATCCTGCTGCTAATAGTTTTCTCCTGGAAAGCCAGGGTCAACAGATAAGTAAGCACCAGGACCTAAGACGGCCACACTTCAGCTAGCAGTTAGCAAAACAAATGACACAGTGAGCTGTGAGAGTAAAGACAGAAGGAAATTCCTGAGCCAAAAAATGTGAGAAATTTTACTAATCCACTTCAGTAATTCCACAATATGTACATATTCCAAAACATCAGGTTGTATACAATAAGTACAAATTTTATTTGCCAATTAAGTAAAAATTTTAAGACACAAATACTTAAAAGTAATACTAATCATAACAAATGAATAAAATCTCAACAGCTCTAACTTGAATGATTTGGTTTCATAAATTTATCATAGTATACAGAATGGCTGTTTCTAGGGGTCTGGAAAGAAAGGGGAGTGAGAATGTTTTTTTTTTCCTTCTCTGCCTTTACTGTTGTTAGTTTGAGGCAGGGTCTCACTATGTTGCTCAGGCTGGCTTTGAACTTTTGGACTTCCTACCTCAGCCTCCAGAGTGCTGAGATTAAAGTATACATATATAATGATGCCTGGCTCAGATTTTTTTGTCGTCTCAAACTGAAACTGCGTCATTAAACAAAAACTTCTAGGATGAATGGTAGTGCTGATTGTACAACAATGGGAATTTACTTAATGCCACTGAACTGTATACTTAACAATGGTTAAAACTAGGACTGGAGGCATAGGTCAAGTGGCAGTGGTGTAATACAGGTTGAGCAAGTGCAAGTGCAAGGCCCAGAGTTCTAATGACAAATGTTTAAATCCTTTGTAATGTTACTGCCTTCTCATACCAAGGAAGTTAGGCCTGACCCACTAGTAAAAGTGGGGAAGGAGTATAGAGTAGAGTTACAGAATACTCACCCCCAACTTCCACTAATGGATTTAGGTATAATTAAACAAAACTTAAGCAAACACAGCCTGTGGGGGCAAAATAATTCAAGGCCACATTCCCCCCAGGTCTCCAGGTGAGGAGGAGATAAGGAGCAAGAGAAGGGCTTAGGCCTCCGGAATTGTGCTAGATTTACAAGCAGATCATTAAGAGACTTGTCAGATGTACTCCCTGAGAATGGTCTCCTCCTTCCCATGTCTATCTTGCTCCTGACTCACTACCATTGTCCCTTGACTCCAAAGGACAGGGACCCTGTCCTATTTATGCAAATATCCCCAGGGCCTAGTACATGTTTGCACACAGCAGGCACACAAACAGTGCGGAGTGAGTGCTGGTCCAATATCGCCTAATCATTACTGAAAAGGATGGCCCAAAACGAAAGCAATGAATTTCTGCTCCATAAACAACTATTACATTCTAGAGAGGACACTGGTCCTGATGAGGCTTTATACATACTAAGACATCTGTAGACCCTAACAATGACTAATTTGGGGAGCTTTTATAAAAGCTGCAAATATGCAAAAGAAAATCACTGTAAACAATCATTACACATGAGCCCTATTATAATTTCACCTACATGAAGACAAAATTCCAATTGCCATTTAAACTAAGTTTTAAAACAGAACCCAACAAAAGGCAAGAAATTAGACCCATCAGTCATGAGATCCAAGACCAAGAGACATTTACTCTACTATACTTTCACAGAAGAGACAGTGTACTTACTCTCTGGCTGGAAAACAAACTCATACACCCAGACTACCAACAGGGTCCATGCAACACTCCATGCAATTAGCTGCCAGGGCTCATATTTGGTGCAATGTCCATTGACATAATTCTTGGCTTTGGTGGAGTATGCTTCCAAAATCTCGAAGTAAGGCTCAAAGGCCTTCTAGAAACACAGGAGAAAAAGAACAGAAACATTACAGGCAGAGAGAAAAACAAAGGTCTAGTTTGTTCTTCAATTCACACTTTCAAAGGCAAGGCCATTTCACAATATGGTCCACCTCAGCATTAATCTTATCAAAGCCCCATACCAGTTGCTCCCATATAATACTACCACCTATAACCTATGAGGACTTTGACATGCTTTTTTATCTTCTGCTTATTTTGTAAAATAGAGGGATACACTTGATCGTGTCAGCCCTAAAGCTTTTATGTGACTGTCAATTTACTCTGGCAGTCCTCAAGATGAATCTCTATAAAAACATATACAGGCCCATCATACACAAATGAAGTATGAATGCCATTTCTCTTCTTCATTTGAATCTTCCATTCTCTAAAACAGCCATCTGCAGACCAGTCATATATAAGTAGTGAATATTTCAGATTATGCAAACCAAACATTATGTTACAGCTACTCACCTCTCCTGCAAAATAGTCATAAAAATACTTACACTGTGCAAATGAAATACGGCTACATTCCTACATAATTTATGCTCACTGAAATCAGAAGTTCATATAGTTCTTCCATGTCACAAAGTATCCATTTTTTGACATTTTTTTAAATCTAGAAATCAGCTAACTGCCAGTGGCTCTCACTTATAATCCTCTCTGGTGAGATCCAGAGGCTCGATCACATCTGAAGCCAGCTCAAGCAGAAAAGCCCACAAGACTCCATCTTAAAGAAGCAAAAAAGCCCTGCTCTAGTGGCTCAAACCTGTAATCCTAGCCACTCAGGAGGCTGAGATCTGAGGATCACAGTTCAAAAACAGCCTGGGCAGAAAATGTCCTCATAAGACTCTTATCTCTAATTAATCACTCAAAAACCAGAACTGGAGATGTGGCTCAAAGTGGCAGAGTACTAGCCTTGGGTAAAAGAGGGATAGCGCCCAGTCCCTAAATTCAAACCCCACAACCACCACCACTACCACCACTACCAACAACAACAAAAAAAACTCAGCAAAAAGTGGGGCTGAAGATGTGGTTCATGTGATAGAATACCAGCCAAACAAGCAAGCTGAGCAAATATGAAGTTCTGAATTCAAACACCAGAAACACCAAATTAATATAATAATAATAATAATATAGAAAGCATTATTTCTTAAGCTATACAAAAAAAAAGCAGAGGATTCATTTAGCCCCCAGGCTGAAGTTTGAACAATCCTTACTCTAAGAATCAACTTAACTACAAAAGTCAGGGGCATTATTTGTCATTATTGCATACCTCTCAATACCTGACACAAACAAGATAAGGAACCAGTAAAATTACAAAAACTCATCTCTCCCTTTAAAGTCTCAAGTAGTCACTTGTGATAAGCTTTATATGGAGCAGAGCTTATCACAATGTCTTATAGTCTACTCATCTACTTCTTATCTCTCTGACTACACAGTAAGGTCCTTCTATTTACCACCCCCATAGCACTGTGCAAAACTAGTTTCATCTGAGAGCTTGTTATTCAATTCACCTTTCCAACATTTTTAAGACACTAAGTTGGGAAGCACTCAGGTAAATGTCACAGGTCCATGTCCTTGCTGAGTGTGTCTGTACACATATACGCAGGTGCATCATACACAAATGACTAATCAGAACTCTTCAGGGAAAGACTATAGGAGGAGGCCAGTACATACTAAAAGAGAACTGAGGGAGGCTCTAAAATTTAAGCTAAAGAGAAAAAGAAAAAAGGTATCTAGGCAGGAGAGTTAAAAGAAACAAAAAGCATACCAGATGACAAAACAACAACTGCAAATGCAAACAGAGATGGGAATGTGCAAAGTTCCCTGTGCTAAGAATAAAGCTACATGGGGGCAGGACCATTTTTTTCCTTATCCAATGCTAAGTCCAAATCACATAGCAGAGTGCCTGAACAAAATTTATACTGAACACAAAGCTGGGCAGTGGTTGACAGTGCCTGAGTAAATGAGGAAACAAGTCAGAGAACTTAGCCTGCAAAAAGGATACTAGGTACATAGTAAAAATGGGCTTGATAGGAATGAGGGAGTGGCTCAAGTGGTAGTGTGCCTGCCTAGTAAGTGTAATGTACTGAGTTCAAACCCTAGCACTGCCAAAAAGGGGGGGGGAGGGGAGGAAGAAAGGGAAGAGTTGAGAATGTAACTCAGTGGTAGAGTGCTTGCCCACAAGCATACAGCCCTGAGTTCAATCCAAAGAACCACACAAAAAATAAAGTGAAATGTAGGGGAAAACAAACTATGAAGTATAAATGTGGTAGAACTTTTTGTACAACAACTTATTGGCATTTACCAATATTGTAAATGAATGTTCATTTTGACACAGAAATGCTAATTGTCAGCCCCTACAGATGTGCACAGAGACATATCAAGGAAATTCATCCCGATATTCTTTGTAATATAGCAAAACAAAATTTAAAAAAATGTCCACCCATAGGAGAAAGGCTAAACTCTAAATACACAGTATTTTATGTACCCCACACTGTGAACCACTAAAAAGAGAGAGGACAGACTATATTTTACATGAAACATTTTCCATAACAAAACTGAACAAAAGGAAGCAAACCGCACAATAAAAAAGACATAGATAACTGAGCTTTTTTTTTTCCTTAAAGATAATTTCGTACTAGATGGTAACAGGAGTGCAGATTATAGAACAAAATTTTGGTTGCAAGGTTGGCTAGAAAGTCCAGGGAGAAACACTCTAGAGATTTTAAAGAATAATATGGATTTCAAAGATATTTGTGGAGGCAAACAGAATTTGATAACTTATTAGACATGAAGTTAACATAATACAGATAATTCCACATTTTCAAGCTCAAGTTCAAAAAACTAGTAATGATGGTACCATTAACTATGGTAATACTAGAAGCCGAGAAAAAATAACATGGTTTGAATTGTGATGTCTTAGATATCCATCTGTACCGCAGTAGTAGGAATGTAAAAACTTAGGAGGAAGACAGGTGCTAAGCAAATGCATTTTGAATCTTTCATGGACTGAATGCTTATATTCCTCTAAAACTTCTATGGTGAAATCTATCACCTAAGCTTATGCTATTAGAAAGTGGAACCTCTGGGAAGTGATCAGCCCATGAGGGCTGAAAATGCAGACCTCATGGAAAGGATAGTGCTTTAAAAGACACCTCTGTTTAGTAGGAATAATTTCTTTTGTTTGGCATTTTGTTATAATGGCCCAAATGGACAACAACAATACCCATAGTAATTAGACTGTGGTAAAACAAAATTAACACAAGGGAAGTACTGGATCCCATGAGGGCTGTCCATGGAAACTGCCTATCAGCAGCACCTCTGCCACCAGCAAAGTTCTTTGAGACCATTCCCGAGAGCCCATTGTTGCCATCAACAACTTCAATTTTGCAAAGCAGTGGCAGTTCCAATGGAAACCTGGCCAAGACCAGAGATCTCTGTCATCATCAAAGGTATGCCATGACTTCCATTAGCTAAAAAGTCACCTTGTGTTACAGCTGTGGTCAGACTCTAAAATTAAGCAGTGTGGTGTGCATGCATGGAAAGAATCATCACTCCAATCAGCTTTCCTTCTGCAGACATTAATTTCAAATTAAACATTAGAAAGTAACAATGTCAAAAGATGTCTGAAGACATCAGCAACTCTTCAAAGCATTGACTGAAAAATAACAGAACCAGTATTAAAGTCAGCCAAGGACTAGAAAATGCAAACCAATTTTTAAAGGCCTTTAGAATAATATATGAAGACATTCTTCATTAACATTATAAAAATTAAATTAAGCAAGCATACATGTTTTTGTTATTGGTTTGATTCTTAATACAAGCCCTGGGATTCAAACAAATACTTTTAAGAAGATATATAGATTAGATATCTGTAAGTTTTCTAAGTCCAGAGGCAGAATAATATGTTTAATGTAGTTGGGTGGGCCTTGACAATCTTATTGAGTCAGCATCTAAGTGATCACAGAAATTTCATCTGCTGGCATCATTCTAAGTCCCTCTAGGTTACCACAAATAACCTAGGCTCAGTCCCCAATGAAAAAGCACCTCACCACATCAACACTCATTGTGCTCATTGGGCTCTGGGTGATACAGCTTTCTCCTTGGAAAAAAAGGGATGAGGCATTTTTGGGGGGCCTTGACAACAGCACAAACCCCAGAATGGGCCCTGATGCAATTCTCAGCCCCTGGGAAGCATAGAATCTAGCTGCTGAGGAGAACCTTAAGTATCTAGTGCAACATTCTCACTTTGTAAGCAGAAGCCAAAGGGAAAAAGGTGTGCCTAAGCTCATTCATATAGGCTTGTGAGAGAGCAGAGCTCAGGAATCTAAGCCTCCTGACTTGGTTTTTTCTCAAAACTCCAGTCCCTTTCTTCCTCTCACATTCTTCATTTCTAACACAACTGCAAGATTTAACCCCCAACAGTTTTCCCAGAAGAGTAGAAGTCTAAATTTTAAAGCAGGAATCGCAGGGAATGGGGGAGAGATTGATGAAAAACAGTTTTACCCAGTACTTAGAAGATTCTTAAAATCATTTAAAGACCCAGCAGCACTATCCTTACTCTATTTCTGTCCTAAAAATACAAAAACCAAAGACTGTGGTTTTCTTTCATAAAGTACACCAGTACACAAACACTATTGTCTTTGGTGACTCAAATAGCATTAGTGTTATCAGCAAAAACAGATCACAAGCCCAAAGGAAAAACTCCCTTGGGTCATTAAAGAAGAAGTGACAATTGAGCAACAAAGCCAAACAGCTATTCCAAGCAACCAGTAGTGATTATGACAAAAATGTTTGAAGCAACAGATTCATCATTTCTTAGGAGATCAAGAGCAAACCACACACTTCCTCTAAAATTCTACTATGTTGGTCAAGATGCCCAGAATCTGAGAGTTGGTCTCAAGAAGTTTAATGATCAACAGGTTCCCTTCCAAATGTACCTGGTCAAAGTCAGAGCTGTCTGTCACTAAGTACTATTCCACACGCACTTCCAGG